ATATATATATATATATATATATATATATATATATATATATATATATATATATATATATATATATATATATATATATATATATATACACACGGAATATATTACTTGGAAATAGTCTCAAGTTATATTTCTTGCAGAGAAGAAGCATTACTGTGTTATAGTCATCATGAGAAAATAAAATCTGTTTGAATTGTGTTATCAGTGTATCGTTAAAAGTGGCAGTGGCAAGTGACAGTTATGCGAGCAAGTGGTAACATGGCGTCCGTCGATAACGCTGGGAAATTAATCAGCCGCAAGGAACACTCGTGAAGTGAGAACCGCGAAAGAAACTGTGACATGTTGTGTACAAAAAGTACATGAAATCTGTTTGCATTAATTTGCACTTGCCTATGACGACCGTGCGATTTCGCAAAGCGAAACAGTCGTACATAACCGCGGATTTACTTGTAAATACGTAACAATCACACCTCAAAAGTATATCATACGTGGCAGCGTTTATCGCTGATATCAGATCGTTTCTTTAACGGGACGACTTCGTACGTAAGTAACGAATCGCATATTTGACGAGAGACAAACAAAACGATATAATATCGGTTATCGAATCAATCATTTTTCCAATTGATCTAAGCGGTTCGCTTCTCCTATCACAAGTTGATTCAAAGATAACAATGCAAAGTCGGCGCTTGTGCCTTGAATCGATTATACAGTCTTTTGTTTTAAATTAAAAGTGAATCTACTAAAAGCACAAAAATTATATATATTCTTTTTCTATAATTATTTACACTAGGATTATCACTGGACTAAAAGCACAAAAATTATATATATTCTTTTTCTATAATTATTTACACTAGGATTATCACTGGATTATAACATATTGCAGGTTTCATAGAAATGCACGAGAAGAGAAAAAAGTTGCAAACCATGCGTGCTTTAATACTTGTCGGTGGTTATGGAACTAGATTGCGACCTCTCACTCTAAGTCGACCTAAACCGCTCGTCGAATTCGCCAATAAACCGATGCTCTTGCACCAGATCGAAGCACTTGTATGTATTCAAATATATAAAATTAAATCTGGTTTCCTTTATCTTTCTAAATGTTTCCTCGTCTTTCTTAGGTACAAACAAATGTAACAGAAGTAATACTGGCTGTCTCTTACCGAGCGCAGCAGATGGAAGAAGAGTTGGTCCATGAGGCAAAGAAATTAGGAGTGCAACTTATATTCTCTCATGAACCGGAACCGTTAGGTACCGCAGGACCGCTCGCACTTGCCCGTGAATATTTATGCGCCAGCGACGATCCGTTCTTCGTCCTGAACTCTGATATCATCTGTGATTTTCCCTTCAAACAACTTCTCGAGTTTCATGAGAGCCATGGGAAAGAGGGTACTATAGTCGTCACTAAAGTGGAGGAGCCATCAAAGTATGGTGTAGTTGTATATGGGGAAGATGGACAAATTAAGAGTTTCGTTGAAAAACCGCAAGAGTTTATATCCAATAAGATTAATGCAGGTACAGTATTGAGATTTATATAGGAACATTTCCAGAAATGGATTGTGTATATATATCTATGATATAAAAAAATTTTTGATATTTCTGAATATAGGAATGTACATTCTTAATCCAAGCGTACTGAATAGAATAGAATTGAAACCTACGAGTATCGAAAAAGAAGTCTTTCCAAGTATGGCTGAAGATGGAGAATTATATGCGATGGAATTGCCAGGTTTCTGGATGGATGTAGGGCAACCTAAAGACTTTCTCACGGGTAAGTGTTGATATACAGCATAATGTTTATGGAAATATAATAGCTTACACATTATACTTAAATTACAAATATAATAACATTATATATTTATACTGTGTATAATTATATATTATATTAATATTAAAATATATACTTGGATATGTGGATATGAATTTGTTCAATTATACTCCATAGCAATTACTTTATACAGGAATGTCTATGTATCTTACTTCGTTGAGGCAAAAGCATCCTGAACAGCTTCATTCCGGACCTGGTGTAGTGGGCAATGTTCTGATAGATCCAACGGCTGTGATTGGCAAAGACTGCAGAATCGGGCCTAATGTCACGATCGGACCTGGTGTCACTTTAGCAGACGGATGTTGTATTAAACGCAGCACTATTCTTAAGGCAGCTGTGATAAAGGAGCATGCATGGCTCGATGGGTATTTGTGTTGCATTCTACATACTAAATCGCTCTCTTTCTGTATAGACACAAAAATTTCAATATGTGTATAGCATTTATGTCAAAAAATAATTTGGAATATTTAAATAGATGCATAGTTGGTTGGAGAAGCGTTGTAGGGCGATGGGTGAGAATGGAGGGCACAACTGTCCTGGGAGAGGATGTTATCGTGAAGGATGAACTGTACATCAACGGCGGACAAGTTTTACCACATAAGAGCATTTCTACCTCTGTACCGGAACCACAGATCATTATGTGACCAAAGATCATAACTTGAATTCGAATTGAGTAAAGGCAATAATAATCTAGACCAAAACACGAGATACAATCCGAGATTTGTAACAATTTTTTAAACATGCATAATATATTACCTCTGTTGGTTTTTTATTATTTTTATATACAGTTTCCGTATTTCCTTGAAAATTTCGCATTAAAGAATATTTAAAAATACAAAAAATACCAAAAATTTATTCTATATTCGGTAACCTTGTTTTGTCCTCCAGAACACGATTGCGTTGATTGTGACTTAGAAAAGACGTAAAAGTTACCTTACATTAGTATTGCAAATGTCAGTCGCGATACCGAAAATTTATACAATCCTTGTTGGTAAACCTCGTACTATTATCGCGGCTGCCGTCATGTATTGCGAGCAAACCTTCTTAGACTTTGCTACCACTCTCAACATTTCTGACTCCATTTCTGCTTTGTTCTTTTCAGCACTTTTCGCAAATTCTGAAGAATATAATTGAAGATGATCATCCGATGTAATTAAAAAGATTGAGAATACCTCCAGTTTGTAACACTAACTTAGACTACCGTGTGCCCAACTGTTCGTGTCCACTTCGGCCCACGTTTTGTCGGATGTCGACGGAACCCAATTACTCATGAAGTCCGCGGTCATTTTATCGATATCAAAATCCGTTACTTCCCACAGCATACCCAATAAACAAGGACTAAAAATTAAATGAATATACTAAATAGCACATAAATTACTAAAGTGTGAAAATAAGAAGTCATATATATCACATATAGAAATTAGAGAATCACTTTCTTTTGCCACAGAAAACAAAAAAATTCAATTAACTCGGATATCTTGTAACACCATTATTTTTTGTCGAAATTATATACCACTGAATTTCGTAATCGAAAAAAAATGATTCTTAGTTTCGCGCGTAATATATATATGGTTTCTCATCCTTACATTTAATTGAGAAAGAGAATGTTTCTTATACATGTCATAGAGAAATAAATGTTTTTTCTACCTGCATGCTATTAAATATTGGTTAGTAACACCGTAAGGTGGGTATCTTCCGCCTATTACAAGTAGTTTCACGCTGTTACATCCAAATAATAAAACAGTTGACCTTACTTTCGTCTTTTCAATATCTTCTCCAGACAAATATTGTATGCCACTTCCATGACCATTATACCTGTATAAGAAAAAAGAAAGGTACAATCAGACGAAAATACTACAACGATTGTATAGAAATAAAATTTGCATACATTAAAATGTCATGATTTACTAGCGCATCTTCAAACATTTCTTCACTAGGCTCTGTGTTGTAACAGCTTCTCCACTGTGGTAACCAGAAATTTATGAAAAGCTTCATCCGTTTCTCCATTTTTTGTAGATTACCCGACGGATTGACTATGCAAACACCCATGTTGTCTTTGGCTTTAATGATTTTACACCCTTCCACTATGGTGTCCTCATGTTCTTTAAATAACGCATACGCTATATGTAGAGATGGAAAACGAGTAACAGGATGGCTTTTGATAATTTCCATTGCCTCAAATGCTAAGTAATCTATATGCTTGAAAATGAAAAAAAGAAATGAAAAGTTACAGAAATTGACACAAATGTGTATTAGCACAATATATATAAACATTTACGAATATTTCATATATATTTACTTCATCAATGATTAAAACTAATGTCTTTCGTTTCGTATTCTTTAATTTCTCTATATGATATGGCATGCCATAAAGAGATAAAATAATATTATTTGCAAGTTTTTCATATTCAGGAAGTAGAAATTTTATTGCACGTGCTATTTCTTCACGCGTGAGAAAACCTGCACCTGTGGACACTTTTTTCAAAAACCATTTACACCGCTTTGATATTTTGTCACTAAAATACATAATAATAAAATTTAGTGAATACAATCTTGTAGTTTTTAAATTTTTTTTTTTAATATTACTCACGACAATTTGGAATCCAGTATTAACTTATCAATCACTTCATGAATTTCATTTACTATTTCCAAGTCTTCAATGGGATCAGCCATAAATAGCACTCGCCATTCCCTCAACCATATAGTTTCCAATCCATCTATAGCCATCTACAAAGGATCATTTTTTTCAATTTATACACTAGTTAAAGCATTGAATTGCCAGTGTACCTTCATTTTATTATCTTGTTCCCTGCGCATACTCCAATACTGTTCATTATTTATATAAGTAGCTTCCAGTTTAGCTTTATTACTAATTAATATATTTTGTATTTCTGTGCAGATATCATAGGAGACTTGCATTGCTGGTTTTGGCAAAGTTATGCATAGTGGTTCTATTTCAGATGATCCTGTTGGAAGCATAATGATATGTACAGCATGCGTTGAGCTAGACGCATGCTTTGTGTGGTTTAATATGTTTGAAGATTCATAGTGAACAGTGACTTGAAGTACATACCATTCTGTGGATAACAAAAAAAGATATAAAAGATTTATTAAAAAATATATTAAGCAAGAAAAAAATTTATATGTATAAACCTTTTGGCAGTTCTGACAATTTTAATGTTAATGAATTATCTGAAAATTTAGGCTCAAATTTCACATATGTTGGTTTCAATCCATATGTTTGGGATACATTCAATAGAGATTCCCGCAATTCAGTTTTTTGATATCTATGTAAAATTTGCTGTCGAAGTATTACTGCATGAGATTCTATCAAATGATGAATAGCTATGAGTTCACTCCCAATCTGTAAAGAAGATAAGCATGTATTTGATATTAATATCAATTAGAAATTACTATTATTATTGAGATGAAACTAATAATTTTACCTTTAAATTACAACTAGCTAGCATTTTACTTAAACTAGCATATTCAACACATCCTACATAGTTATTTGGTGTATTTATAAGCAGCTTTTCTGCACAATTTTTTATTTCTTCTAGAGATTTATTAGAATTTTGTAATTTACTTTCATAATCATCTTTGAGATGATATTTATCTAAGATTCGCATAATTTTGTCAGTAAGGTCTGCCATAATTAACTTTCACTTACAGTTAATTTTGTACACCACCACTGACTGTATCACCACCGAGTATCTATTAGTATCTCGTCAGTGGTATCACTTTAAAGATGTTACAGAAAACAATATTGTACGACTCGCTTGTTTATTATTTGTTAATTATTGTACACAACACCATTTAAAACATGATTAAATCGAAGATTATTCAACACAATGCAGTCACTAAGCAAAAAAAAATCGCATCGTGACAATATAGATATATTTGATTAAACACATGATACAAATTTCCAAACAACTTTGCAAGTTTCCACCTTCAGTTAAATCAACGGTTCAATTACAAGTTAAACCGAACATGCGCATGAAGGTTATTTTACTAGCGACATCTATCGATATTCGTCGAAACTATCAGTCGAAAATCGGCCGCAACATGTATGCAACGAGTGCCGAACTCTGTTCTACAGAATTCTCTTCGAAACTTAGATATACAAAAGTTTAATCATATTCCATACTTTTACTAATAATTAAAACCGGTTATAATGCTCATCACTTTTATTTAACATATATATCTTAACAGTTTATCAAAAACTGATATACATTCGAAATACTTACAGCCGAATTACAGCCAAATTATACTTTACAATTGATGTGCATACATATTATACAATTTTTATTTACACGTTTTACCTGATTCATATTATAACCAGAATTCCATTTCTGTCCTTGCAAGTGTGAGTATTCACATTACCGCGTAACAATATCAAAAGTTCATATATATAAGTCTCAAAAGCAGTATAAAAATTATATGATGCTATTATCAACATGCGATGCTACAATGAAAATAATTAGTGTTTTTTGTAAAATCACATAAAAACGATTTTACAAGATACAATAGAGTATTATTAAGTATAAAATCGTCAGAAATTTTACAAAATCCCCAAATTAATCACTTTCACTGTGACATATATAGGCCACATATTCCCCGTTCGCGGATGTAAAACTGGAAATTTGGAAGAGATACATACGTACTGAGAGAGGCGAACGAACTATATCTCTTGTCAATTTCCGGTTTCTCCCACTGCTATGGTGAAAGTATATGAATGTTTAATCTAAGTGTATATATATACATATATATGTCGTTGATTACTACGAACGGTCGTTAAACTTATACCTTTAATCTTACTCCATCACGCACAGAGAAGTAAGCATCCTTGTTGATATTTGCTTTTCAAGATATCTCATTATCATTGCCAGTGTTGTTATTCGAGAACTTGTGGTCCCACAAAAGACTGATCACTCGCAATTCGACTTAGATTCTCGCCAGCGTACGAAAGCAAAGGAGAGACCTCCACATCATTGCTGACGTTCTTTGCACCCGCGTTCAATAACCATTTCTTATGTAAATTCAGCAGATCGCTTCGCGCGGTGCTCGGGCAATCTTGATCGACGGAATTGGAGTTTTTCAAGGGGCTAAATTCTTCCTTGCGAATGCCCTGCCACACCGCGAAGTTCTTCGCGAAGCAAAACACGTCGAACACGAATTTTTCTATCTTGATACCGTTTGGACTTTTTGGAATGATTCTCTCCCCTTCGTCGTTAACGTATGGAATTTTTTTCTTCGCAGCGTGCAAATCCAAATCTTTCTCGTGCAGGTGTCCGATATCTTTTAGAAAGTTGACTGTAAAGTAGTGGTTGCATATGTTGGCGGCGTTGTACACCAGTTGTCCATCGGCGTGACGGAGTTCCGCGGTCTTTTTTGTGATTTCACTATATTCAACTACTTGATAATGATCTTCTACCTATATTAAAGACAAAACAAAGATAACACATTACAATGTATACATAAAATATACATGTATGAACTTGAAAAAAATAATTATATGTGAATTTGGTCTTTATATGACATCATATATAATCATATTATATATATCTCTACATGTTGAGTAAAGTTGTACAAATACAAGGTTTTTATTTCTAACAGGCTATGATGTCGAGATTTAATGAAATAAAATTATTTCTTCCTTCCTTCAACAGCATTTCTTTATCATATGAATATATATAACTGTATATGATTGATATATATGACCATACAGAGACAAATATATATGATTATATATAATTTTTTCCCAGGATTTTAATATATTATGGAACATGCAAAGCAACTAGCCTTGCAAACTACACCAACTGCTTCAGAAGGAGAAGATTTCTCAATAACTTTAACTCCACAATCTGTATCAGAGACCAAGCAATAGCCTATAAATATAGGATCTGCTACTTTCACTAAGATATTGTCCACGGAATGTGCATGTATACTCCGAATTCCACGTTGCGTCATATCTTCCAGTATTCCTTGAGTTTTCAATGCACGGTACAATCCTCCATTACCATCAGGTGCTTTAGAAACACGATGTTTTGCATCCAAGATTATCTTGCCATCAAAAGTAAAACACGGTAGCATGCCCTGCTTGAAAGCTTTAATGTTTTTCTCTTTTAAGCCAAAGTAGTTGTGTTTGCTGAGAAAAGTGATAGTGGCATTGTGAGTAGCTTCACTAGTAAGAATATACCTGAAAAATAAAATTTAGTAAATAATTATAAAATAAAATAAAATTTACTTGGTATCTCTATTCCATCATATTTGGTAATGATGTGACATTGATTCAAGATTCTATGTACATTTCCCCTAGATAACTCTAATATGATAATTATTTTTTCAGCAAAGCTCAGAACTTGACAACATACCAAGTTATCTCTCCATGTTTTCCACACCGCTGTTCTGCAATGTTCTGCAGACGCAGTATCCTCTCTGCCTGCAGCTGGAAAAGAGTTTTGTGCGATGGTAAGTCAACATCAAACATTCCCTTAGGATAGGTCACTCCTAAGCGCGTTCCTTGACCACCTGACATCAATAATACAGCCACACGACCTTCGGCAACTTCTTTCAGACCAAATTCCTCATACATTTCCAGCTCTTCTTTTGTGGATGTCTTGGCGGAGGCAATTTTCTTTTCATCTACAGGCTGTACTTTGTCATCTAGCATATCTTGACCAATATGCTGAGAAGATTCCAGTGCTTTCTTAAAGTACAAAGTAGCTTCCTGTAGATCTAATTCATCAATATCATTCTCCAGATCATGTCTATCTTCATCTGTCAACTCCTCCCAGAATCTAAGCAGATGCTCCTGGTCGTACTCTGCCAGCTTCTTTCTCTGTCGCTCCATTCTCGTCAACATTCAGTATTTGACACTTCCCAACGACTGGTTTTGTGGCAGATAGTCTTATATCTCCCTATTGTGCCTCGTGTTTATCGTTGTTTCCCCGTAAATTCCTCGATATGTTGCCTACGTCACACTTCGTTCCGGCACAGTGAGGAAAGGAACGAACAGTTCGGTCGACCAACAACGAGCAACAGGTATTCATCGAGCCTAAATCACCCGCGTTGAAAGTTCCTGCTGCGGTGACGGCGGCGGTGGCAATAGCGACGTACCTTCACTTTCACGATTCCACGTAGCACGCTCGGTTCGATTTCTCTTATCGATCCCTCCCGCCCTGCCGGCCTCTCCTGTTGCACGTGTAATTTTCCTTTCCCTGGCCAACATGTCTCGCTCGCAAACCTGTGTGATCCGGCCGGCCGGTATCGCCCCCAGGAAAAGTCATCTCTCTCGTGTACATGCTGTACAAGGTAGATAACCTGCGCGCGTACGATCCGTATGCACGCGCGTTCTTATCTGCTGTCCTTCCGTCCGATCGACACTGAACAAAGTTCTAGCTGCAAGAACTTGATAAAGCGTATCGAGCGCGTAAGAGAAAATCTCGGACTAGATAAGATAAATCTTTTGTCCTCCACCGGCGTATCGAACAACAAACGAGGCAGAAAGGCGAAAGGTCGTGCACGGTGAAAGCGAGCGACCTTGGTTCCTGTTGTACTGTTTCTTTAGGCAAAGCTGCACAATGTCGGAGGTGACCGCCCGGGTAAGAATCCGGGCGCGATGTCGCGCTCGCGCATTCATTAGCGATGACGCATTACGACGCACCCGAAAGTCTTGGGAAAGTGATCGCGGTTCTTTTTGTGGCTTCGCGTTTTGCCCCCGGTCGATTCCGTGCAATTGCGATGTGTTCTTCGATGAGTCTGTCACGTTTCTCACTATATAATTAAAAGAAAAGTATTTATTATAAATGGTTACTTATATTTTCTATTATATACATATATAAGCTAGTTTTTTTGACTAATATATTCGGTAATGTAAGGTGAAAATACCAATTCTCGGATACGTACAAGTGGGTTGTAAAACGATTTAGATAATAAATGAAATTACAAGTTATCACTCGTTTGCATTGCAAATGTTCTTTTTGAGAAAAATTTTACTAAAAACCCATAGCATATGTAACGTGAACTATATATTTTCAGTAACATTTTTTCCTCAAAAAAAGAACATTTTGGAATCTAAATCTAAACTGTCAAAATTGAGTCATTATCGATACAAGTTTGTGTTCAGTAATTATATTATTATATTATTATTATATTATTATATTATTATATTATTATATTATTATATTATTATATTATTATATTATTATATTATAATTATATTATTATTATTTATTATATTCAGTGTTCTTAATTATATTATTATTGTGTAAGTCCGCCAGTAATGACTCTCAATTTTGATTGGTGTGCTCCTAAATTTATTGTGTCTAAACTGTTTTATAACCCACTGTATTTAACTCTGGATATTCTTATTATTTTGATCTTTAAATACGAATATTCAAAATAGATTTTTTTTTAAAACAGATAGAAATAGGAAAATTACAAGATGTAATTCAAGAAGAACATTCGTACAGTTTCAGTCTCACGAAAGAAACTTGATAGCGACTGTTATCATCATCGGCACAAAGATACATATTACGATAAGGCGCGTATTAACGCATTATGTGCGATATATCACATAAAAAGCATGATATCCCTGTAACTTTAAAATTATCGACACTTTTTATTAACTGTTCGCAACAAAAAGCGCGTTTGATAACGCCGAGTTCATGATAGATTCGTTTGTTTTACGTGCGTGCGTTCTACACTTTCTGCGTTCCAATTTCGACTTCGGTCCGAAGTGTCAGATTTGGGTGTTACGTGTAAATTATGACACTCTACACTCATTTATAGACAACATAAACTATATATGAGATGTCATTTATGCAAATATAATCTGTGGATATCGTTTAAAGAATATATGGCTTTCCCAAAAAGTTTAGATTTAAATTATTTAATTACTTAATTTAATCTTTAAAGAATCCTAATATAAATTTATGAAAGTTGTTTCTTAAATAAGTTACAGTTCAAAACTTACATTCTTACCTATACACAGAAAGAGTTAATTAATCAATCTATCATACAATAAAATGAAAATTTTATACAATTTATTTCTGTTAAACGTTACATTTATAATTAATATTGAAAACAGATACGGTAACCGTTTAATTTAATTGCTCTTTTTGCATATTTCAATACAACTTGCAATAATCTACATAATTCGCATTATTCACATGAAAAACCGTGTGTATATCACGTAAAAAGTACACAAACAATCCGCGTAGATGTAATCTTGAAATCTACGGTGCAACCGTACCGAGCGCGGTGAGTGTAGGTAAAACAGGCACCGGTGATTAGTTGCGAGCGACGGCGACAGATGGTGTCCGCGTTCGAGCGCGAGGCACGCGAGAGGAATGTGCGAGGCCCGTCGCCGCCGTCGTGTTGCATGCGTACGCGCCCCGTCGTGACTTACGAAGAGATATAATGCCACTGTGCCTACGGCGATGAAATAACGCGTTCTCGCACGCGCGACAATGCTCGAACGGTGCCGGTACGACGGAAAGCTATGTACAGTGTTGTGATGTGTCCGCGTAGCATCGTCGACAGCCAAGTACCGCACGCTCTACTCGGTAGATGTTTTTCGGTAAGCTGTTCAGCACTCCCCGCGCTGCCCTCGCCGCGAATGTCCCCGTGAATGTCCGCTGTTTACCTTCTCAGGTCGCTCGCTCGTTGGCACGGCAGTCGAAGCTGTCTGTAACACGAGTATCAACCAGAACCTCGTCGAAAGGCGGTCACAATCCGCGCGTCGATTTCGCGACAGATTTTCAGGTCGAATTCGCGGATCGACGTCGCCCAATAAGCTCGTTTCCTCTCTTCTGCCGCCGACACACGTCGCCCACACGCGAACACGCCTTTCCGCCTTTCGCGTGAATTGCGCCGGCACGTAGCGGCGTCACATGGGACTTGTTCCCCTAATTGTACTCGTACCTTTCTCCTCCTATCTGAGATCCAATTGTATTTCCGAATATTATTGGATATGTTTCTTCAATTGCACTCTCCGACGCTTCCTCGAAGTATCGGTTTTCCTATTTATTTAATGTAATTTATTACATATCGAGAATTTTTGACACCGTGAATAATTCGAGAGTTGTTCAGAAGGAAGTGTAAGAGAAGGTGCAGTTCGAACGAGCAGATCTGCTTTACGGCGCGCTATACCGAGGGCTACACCCTGTGCGGCGGCGGCGGCAGCCGATAATGCTCACGCACGCGGATAGGTTAGGGGAGGTAGTTGGACTGCTGCTCCATCCGTGTTTATCTGTTGTGTTACCGAAGTCGCGTTCCGCTCGCTCACGAGCATTTACCGCACTTGTTGTTTTCGCGATGAGAGATTCGTAGCGGAAGAGGTTAGATACGCTGAGGTAATCAATCGCGATGCCCGCGAGAAGCGACGATCGGACGCGAGATAAGGCGTGGGATTTAAACGTGGACTCCGAGCGGTCGGCCGATTCGTTATACGGAAGTCGGCGTTAATTCTCGCCGAACTTCTCCACGACGAATCGGTTAACGTCGGCTTCACATGCTCGTCAAAATTTGCGAGTCTATCGGACGGACAAATGCATAGATGAATAAAAAAAATATTTGACAGTAATATAAGTTAAAATATTTCCACTCAAAAGTCTGTTGGATAAACTTTGTCAAATGTATCCCCTCTATTATGTCGGTGTGGTAAATAATGTATGTTCAATATAAGCAACTTGTTGAAATGTAACAGTAGTATATGTTTATATTAGCTTATGATCAATGAAAGGGCAGTGTAACAGTTGATCATGGACATTATTTACATCTGATATTTGTGATAGAGTAGTACAACATCATTAATAAGCTTGGCAAATCGAAATTTATTAATACTATGCATTTTGCAAAGTGCAGGTGTCAGGTGCCTAGAACACGGTTGTCAAAATGGGCAAATTGTTGTCAAAAATCTTTGGCAACAAGGAGATGCGTATTCTCATGTTAGGACTGGATGCTGCAGGAAAAACTAGTATCCTTTGCAACTTTACATAACAAATGTTTTTCTTTATATCTTACATTCTTTTTATTTCTCTTTTTGTTGCATTTGTTTCATTTTTATGATTATTTATATGATTTTTTTTTTTTTATTATGTTTTCTAGGAATCATATATAATTAAGTATATAGTTGTGAGAATCTCTTGGCTTGTTTGTACGTGTACACATATGTGTTTTTTATGTTGTGCATAAGGCAATTTTTGGCGATTTTTTGGTATGTATATCATTTTGTCATTAAGCAAGTTCATATCATATATAAGTATGCATCATATATTAAATTTTTGGTGTAAATTATAATCTGATACCAAAGATAATCTGATACCAAATGATTGCCAAAAATTGCTTATTATATAATATATATAATATATTTACTTTATTATGGATCTATTTCCTTAATCAAATTATACCAGCAATATTGTATAAACTTAAACTAGGACAGTCTGTAACAACTATACCAACTGTAGGATTCAATGTAGAAACAGTTACCTATAAGAATGTTAAATTTAATGTGTGGGTAAGTCTTCAGCTCTTGCTATCTTCGACACAAAATGATATACTGATCTCAAAGTTATTCTAATGCTGTTTTAATTGTTCTTATTGTTTAGGACGTAGGTGGTCAAGATAAAATACGCCCGTTATGGCGTCACTACTACACGGGGACGCAAGGACTTATTTTTGTAGTAGATTGTGCAGATCGAGATAGAATCGACGAGGCTCGCCAAGAACTCCATCGAATTATAAACGATAGAGAAATGCGTGATGCTATAATTTTAATTTTCGCTAATAAACAAGATCTTCCGGATGGTAAGTAACGTTTTTCGATATAATTAACAGTGCAGACAATAAAATGTGCGCATGTTATAGATGCCACAGACATCTTTTATAAGTTGCCACAGTATAGAAGTTTTTATTTGTACTTTTGTCTAGCAATGAAACCACATGAAATACAAGAAAAACTGGGATTAACTAGGATACGAGATAGAAATTGGTACGTTCAGCCATCTTGTGCCACAACGGGAGACGGGCTTTATGAAGGCCTTACGTGGTTAACCAGTAATCATAAATCATGAGCAAATATTTATTTTTCACAAATTAGCTATATATATATATACATATATATATATATATACGGAGAATACATGTTTGCTTTGTATTTTTATTTTAATTTATCATGTGGAGGCTCTGTAAGACAAACAACTGACAATGACGATAGATTTGACGAGGACTTTTTCACAAGCAAAGTTATTGCGGGTGCAAAGAGGGAAAAATCTATAAAGACAACTATTAATGGTGTGTTCCAATAATATCGACACTAGGTGAATAGTAATTTATTGTAAATGAGGTACCAAGAGACGTAGCCTTTGTTACTAGCTATTTATCCCAATTCATGGAGGTAATTACATTATTACTGAATAGGGTTACACGGGTTTAACATCACTGTATTGTAACATATTCACGCAAGTGTACTACTTCACGAAAGATAAGTTGTACAAGTTGAACAAAGGAAGAAGAAAAGAAACATTACGAGAATCTAGTTATGATATTAAGGGGTTCACAGATTCACAAAGATTAGTATACTGTATAACTTACCTTGCAAACCCTTTCCAACATCTATGTATTGTTATTCGAGAGAGTTGTGTTTTTCGAACGGAAAGTACCTCAAGTTTTTAACGAATTACAGCTAGATTTTTAACTCCGCAATATATATTGTTGTCAATGCTAAACTAACATGTATCATATAATATTCATACATATAGTCCTTGACTATGACACGTGAGTAAATTTATATAGCACCTACAATGAGGCTTTATATAATCCAGCGAGATTTATTCGTTCATCGATAAAGATTCTTGCTATTTGCTTATATTTTCGTGTCGAAAATTGCTCGTAATTCATCGGTTTTGGTAACATCGTCTTCCAACTCGACAGATTATGCAAATTTTTAAATTGACTCCCGTTTTTTCGTTTGTCTCTCCAGGCATATAATATGTTTCTCTTTTTACGTAATATTTTTATCAGAACGCAATAATATAATCGCCAGGATTTTCTCATTATTACGCACAAGCCACAAAATAATAAGGGCGCTCTTACCATATCTATCTGAGTTTATTAAAATAGAAAACAATGCAACACATGGAGTTATCGGTTTACTGATATTGTGAGCTCAAAAAAAAGAACAAAACAATAAAAAAAGGAGAAAAAGAAGGATAATGTTACACTGAGCGTAACAGCATTGAATCTGCCAATATTTTTTACTGTTTAAGTGAGTATTGGATAATAAAGCATTAGAGTATTAGGTCGCAATGATCAGACCATTAATCTAACGGCATTTTATGAATGAAATAGGTATCTTCGCGACTTTCGTTTCTCTCAAATAGCATAATCCATAGGCGTAAGACTAGTTCGAATTCATACACTTCGATATTCATAACTGATTCATAGATGAAGTTTACAAGTGTTCAAAATGTTCGTATGATTATCAATCAAATTGAGTTATAATTAAATAGTGGGGTGGCGTACATCTCTACAATTCGTCAATACATTGACCTTGTTTGCATTCCACATTAGCGAGTTAGATTGTTAGAAAAAGAAAGAGAAAAAAAGAGAAAGGTGTTTTAGTTATAAATAATCATACATTTAACATATACATAAATTTAACAGAGATTTTCCAGGCGTAAGTTCGTAATAACTTTCTCAGCGTGTCCGTACCATTAATATTAAGTATTTCACTTAAGAAATGGCGTAATGGTTGAGCACATCACATCATCTGTAAAAAAAACCGTAATCAGGCTTTGGAGATACCGAGCTGTTTTTCATAATATTAGCTGCATCCATTAGCACTCTGTGGTCAAGAGAGTTGATATGACCATGTCATCGTAACTCTGCATTTTTACCACACTGTGTAAAACAGCGACGACGTATTACATATTATGTACTAACTATATAAAAAAATATATATATTCTTTTAAATGCAAGAATCATAAATTGTTACGTTTTACCATCGCTTAAGAGAGCCATTTTCATTATTAAATATAATGTTATAATGTTAATTGACAAAATTTTATGTACATAAATATGTTTCATATTTCAAGTGTTTTTTGTGTGTGTCAAGTGTTTCATATGTTCCATGTGACCATTACTGTAATTACAAAAAAATTCTAAAATATACTAACGACGGGGATCACATATATACTTAAAAGGGGGGGCAGAGCTATGTTGACACAGTGAGGATTATATATATACATATGATATAGAAAATGTCTTCAATTTTTAAAAATATGTAAACAGAAGGAAAAACATGCTTCTCCTTTATATTAAAGTTTAGGAAGAGAGTAGAGTAACTTTCTGTCTTTGTTTGTATATAATGGAGAGCTGTTTGTTCGCATACATGAAATATGGACCTACTTCACTTCATAGCATCAAGTGTGCAACACGCATACACTGACATACGATAAATCAAAAATAATTCAGAACCATAAAGCATTCGCTTCAGTCCAAAGCCTGAACACAACAAGAATCTCATAGTATTCGAGAAGAATCTACGAATGTAGTTTATAGGAATAACTACTAGAATTTTGTTACTATACCGCTAATTATTTACAGTAGTAATTTAACAAATTCATCTCTATCAAGTTTGATAACATAACAGTGATAACATAACGGAAAAGCTAATATTGAGATTCTACAAAGTACATGAAACTTAGTACTTCAAGCTCAGTCAAATGTGAACTACAGTTTTTTTATTATACCTTATGTAGGAGAAAAGGCATTCGTAAGCATTTCGCGAATATAGATATATTATGTAAACCTTAAAGTTTGTTACTATCAGAAAGACGCACTGGATAATTTTCCTTGATAGACGTTTAGTAATATGTCGTCCCTTTTATTTATATACACATACACACATCGCATACACATATACGTACCATTTCGGTTAGAGAAGAGTATCCACACGTAATTTGTCATTTATGAAATTAACGATGTTTGTTAACTTATACGACATCTTACCAGGGGCCATACAAAAAAATAAGGCTCATTAAGGCGCTTCGGAATGTAAGAAATAATATTACACAAGAATTGATGCTATCAGCTTACACATGGATTGACGCTATCAGCCAGAGAATTCCTAATGCACCAATTGTGAGATTATCTCCAAGAAAGAAATATCTGCCTTAAGAGAGAAATGTTTAATAATACAAGAATTAATACTGTTCTGTTAATTTATATATATATATATATATATATATATATATATATATATATATATATATTCTCGCTATTTATTTCTATTGTTTAATGTAGGATCTATAGCACGTTACATTCTTCACACATAGACAGATAATGTATCGCAAATGTTACAAAATTATTTATACGTAACGTTACAATCATCGCTTATAAAACAAAGTATAATTAATATCTTTCGTATTTTCGATAAACCAACGAGAGAATCATACTTTGTAAAATGCGTAGGAAGAGCAAATTATACGCGAAGTATACCTCGGGCATAGAAGTAACTTGAATTAGGGGCATTGCTGGTGCAGCAGGAGCTTTTTGGCTCATGGTGTATATAAAAAATATAAATATATAATATAAATGCAATATAAATAATAGCAATTTTTACGAAATCGGAAGTCGACGAAGCTAGAAAGTATATATATGTACTTGTATATTACTATCATTTGTATAATAAAAATTTCTTTAAATTGTGCATTCTGTAGTATATGCTATGCATCAAACACGCATCATATATATTTGTATATTATATTTATAACAATTCATAGAAATATTAAGAATATTTATTTTATAATATTTTTTGGTACTTTAATACTTGTTCTACGTGCACTTACACTAGAAGCAATCGAATCGAGCAAATAAAGTAAATAACAATATTAAAATTCTGTAAGAGAAGTCATGGTTTTATTGTTCCAATAATTTCCATGGTTAGTCGTATGTGAATGAGAGACGTTAACGGTCATTATTTTCCATATGTTTTTCGCTATAGTTTCGACAATGTTTGTTAATGTTTGTTACTGAATTAACATTTAATATATTTAGTACGAAAGCGAGAAAAATGCACATTAAACATCACATATATAAAACATGCTCTGCCTCTTCACATGAGAATAAAATCTAGATAAAGAAAATCGAAGTTATTCGTGTAAAGGATTAAAGAAGTAAAAAATCCACATATAATATTTATATTTAAACAAACACAAATTAATTAATTAATTAATTTCATCACATATCTTTTCACTTAAAAAAAACATTTCCTTTTTAGGAAGTTCCTTTACTAAAATTGTTTCTTCCAAATTGCATATATTTTTCCCTGTATTTTTTCATTATGCAAAGTGTAAAACCGATTGTAACGTTGATTTTTGTATCTTCTTTTTCAAGTAATTAATACTTCGATTTACTTACAAACTTACATATTCATACGAGATTCCCGTAACCGCACATTTTTGCGTTCAAAAGATATTTGGCATATTAAAAATAAGCTAAAGCTTTTTCCTACACATTCCGATGTCAATTCGTATGTGTAGTTTAATTATACGGAATCTAAAATGCTATCTATGTGTTAAAACGTCCATAATATATACATTAGAACTAAAGTTACTAACAATTAGTAAATAGTACATAATAAAAGCGTTTTTGAAACTGAGATTCATATACAGAATATTTCTCGTAAATATATCAAAGTGTGTGTGTGTGTATGTGTATGTCTTATCTGGTTCGTGATTGCAATTTAAAGATCTTCGATAAAATATTTAAATACGAATATTTGATCAGATTCGTAACGTACTTAAAAAATCACTTTACTGTACAATTAACAGCACAATCATCATATATCTCCCGTTTAATCAGTTGCACCTGTAGCATTCGTTTTTCAAATACTTCCTATCTCAATATAATCCTGTAGAGATTTGTAGTAAATAGTTGGATGCTATCTGTTGAGTCGTTGTTCCTCCACAAGAGCCATCAATCGTTGCCGAGTTTTCTTATTGTTTTGACAAGCTGCCGATATTAAACCGACTAAATGCTTAACTGAATATTCCTGCAAAGCGTAATCGTGCGCGTTTATGCGAGAGGATAAAAATTGCAAATATTGCGCTCTTATAAAGTATATTATAACTTTAGATATACCTTGTGTTCCTTAATCCATTCTTCAAAGCTATTCTCAGGAAGATAGTACGCTTTAATGTACAGTTCAACGTACTCCCTGTGCGGCATAGGTCTCAGTAATGTCACTTTCTCGAACTTTGATTTTAATTGTGTAAAATCTAATTGCATCAGTGCTCTGCCGCCATTTGAACACTTCTTAGCGCTGGAAAATCTGCAATGACAATAAATTGCGTTTTTTTCTTTACGGGTTTACTTGCGATATTAAGTTTAGAATTATAGTAAAAATTTTTTCCTCATGTACCCTTCCACTAAAGTATGTGTGATCAAATGAGCTACGTTTTCCCATATCGCGTTACACACATCCACATGTAAAGGAGTGCACGTTCCGATAGCACTAAGTTTTTCGTTCAAAGTGCATACTTCCTATAAACGGTAGCAAACAATTTTTAATGTTGTTCCTCATATCGCAAATGTAAAAGAATTTTGTTTCACAGAAAGTAATGCGTACTTGGATTAATGCGTCGATATAACTGCTGTGTTGTGACATGACGTCCGTCACTTCCCAATTGACTCTGTTCATTAAATTTAAGATGTTTGCGACGTCGAATACTTGCGACACTACCGCCATGTAAACAGGCTTTCTCAGATCAACAGTAGATGCTATCGTTTGCATATAAAACTGATGCAAAAATCCTCTTTGAGGACTGTTGGCAATGAGATGCTCTAAGTAAGGCCTCAGGCCTTCGTATTGTTGTCCTAAAAATACCAGAGACTCGACAGCTACAATACGTTCCGTTAATCCGTGAAGTTTCTCGGGCTGCGACAAATTCACAATGGATGAAAGCTGTGGTTGCCTTACTTTGTTGTATTTTGCATTGATATTATCTTCTATTGTATCATTCTCAGAGATAATCAAATTTTCTCTAATTCGCGTTAAGGACAGTTTTAGTTTTGGACTGTATAATGAGTCGCTGTTGATTTGCTGGAAGAATATATAGACACGTTCTAAATTACATTGCAATTACGTGAATGCGATCGAGGATTGTAACGTAAACTTACGAGATCCGACGTAAAGAATAAGTGTACTGTGTAGAAACATAGCTCGAAAAATTGTATCATGCTCTCTATGACAGTGACCGCGATCGACCGTAAAAGCCTCGACATCTGTAGATACTTGCCGCACACTCTCAGTATACTTAATGTCGTGTTCGTGACCATAGGCCCGGACTGTTTGAGCTTGCATTTCTTTTTACTAGCTTTCGTATGGTCTGGTTCATCGACGTATTCGTGTTTTAGTTCATCAGGAATGTCGTCATCAGACTCATCAGAGAAATATGCTGGTTGATTAGCCAGCTAAATAAGAATACAACTATCATTAATTAGTTGTAAAAAAAAAAGAGCCAAGTAAAATGCAAACATGTGTGAAACATATATGTAAAGATATATAATAATTTTAAATTATCAAGAGAGAATAATGAAGTAATATTAAGTATATTAAATTATATATATATATATATATATATAACAATTATTAAAAATAATGAAAATATCAGGAAACACGTTAAAAATTACGGATTACTTTAGATCATTTCCAACAGTTCAGAAAAATTATGAATAATTATAAAATTATTTAACGTTTTTCGTACATCATCTTTTATCATAATATCCTCGTCCATGGTATCATCTAGTCCTATCGTAAATGGCGACGAACCATCCTCTAAGTATTTATGCAGCCAATCGATCCCTGTAGAAATGTCACTATCGCTCAAGTTTGAACTATCGAGACTGTTCCACACTTTGCAGTTGTTGAGAGAAGGTTTCAGACTTCGAAACTCCAATAACTGAGTGGCCACGAAATTTGATTTCACAGGACATAAATTCCAACCATCATTCTCTAGATACATCCTCAATTCATCCAAACGTGATGCGTGATAATGAGAAAAGTAAGATGAGGATTGTTCCTTGATGGACTCCTGCAAGTTCTCTGATTTGTAGCCACATAACTCTTCTCCAATTTCTACCAACCTGTAATTAATAGATATTTAGAAATAATATACTGTTATTTATCATAAAATAGCTAAATTATAGAATTAATTAAACCAAGTCAAATTTGTCATTTTCCATTATAAATTTACATACCTATTGACTATACCCAATACTTGAACAAACTGTTCAAATTTAGTGTGTGTTAAATCAGTGTTTGTCAGATATGTCGATATTTTTGTTTCCACATCATGCCACACTCGGACCATACTATTCTCTAGCTTATGCTTGACATATTGTTTGCTGAAAGTTGCTTCCAAGTCCTTAACATCGGATTTACACTCCGCTTTATCCTCTTGTGCATTATGCCAATTTACAACTAAATAATACGAGCTCAGTATTGTCCATAGTGATTTACACAGTTCCGTAAGGCAAGCTATGCATTTCTCTCGAGGCACAGCCTGGCATAGTTGCTTGTATTGTCTTTTCATATCCCCTCCTGCGTAACCATGTACAGCAGCCAATGCAGTATTGTGAATGGCAGCACTGAAATGCAGATGCAATTGATCCATGGCAGATTGAGTCTTGCCCAACAGGGTATACGCTTCTTGGATGGAGGAGTATATAGCTACATCGAACTGCGTGCACATCTTAGAAAGTGTAGTATCTAAAGCTTCTTCCACTTGCACCAGAATATCTTGTAACTTTTCATTCAGTTTAGCAATACAGTGGAAATGTTTATAAGTTTGAGCGGCACTTTGACATTCTAAGAGAAGTGATATGGCTCCAGGATAATTTCCCTCATTTAGAAGTTCCTGTAGGCGATCCCCTGTACGTTGCTGGTAACATAGTGATTACATTCATCATATTAAAAGAGATCTGTTTAACACAATATAGATATACAATTTTTTCTAAAAATTTTTCTAAAAATTTTACATAAGTAAGACAAAATATAGATTAACTTACCAGTGTTTTTATAGTATTTAAGTTATTCAATAGATCCTCAACCACTTGTCGTTTTCGATAATTAGCTAATATACCTAAGCTTGCTGTCGTGAATTGCTCCTTGGCTAATTTTAGATCTGCTCTTCCCATTTTACATATCTCTAGTACATCTTGCAATTGCTCCTGCAGTGACAGAATTTTTTCAAATTCTTTATTACAGTCCAATTGATTCTTCATGATAAGTTGTAATACTTTCTTAGATACAACTTGATGTTGTTGCTTAAGTTTCTTATAACATTTTTCAATTTCCTTGGAGTTCAATATCATTGGTAATTTTTCTAATTCATAGCGAGGTGGATCAAAACTACCATCCATATTAAAATAAATGTTTTCAATATCTTCTATATTTTGGTCAGGTATAGGCTCACTTTCTGTCGACTGATCAGCCTCAGAACGTAGATCTTCACATTTTTGCGAATCAGGTGGATTAAGCAGATCAGGATTCAGACCCATAAGTGGTACTTTGGTTATAGTCTGAAAAGTTATTATAAATAAGTTATATTTTTTGTTTATAATAGAAAAATTGTTTCTCTAAAAAGCAAGGTTTCATCGAATTTTAATCAATAAAAGGATAATAGTACAAAATTGTTAGAACAAAGTGACCATTAAGTGTGACACATACATGATATTACGACATAAACAATAATAGACTTTCAAGTAGTGATGATTTGATAAATTAGTATTTTATTTAAATGATCCTTCACAAATCGCGTAATTAAGAATAATAAAACAGCGTGACATTGTTTGACATAGCGAAACGTCAAATTTAGTTGTCATTGCATCAATAGTCGGTCACATAACCTAATTCTTGAAGCGCAGCCAAACAAGGTCTATTCCAGATGCCGCGATATGATACTCGGCTGGAATATTCGATAAATAAACGACTTACCTGCTTGTTAATGAGGCCAAAGAATTTAAACTTCAAGTCTTCCATGATGCCAGACTGACTCGCGTCAGACCAGAAGCATTCTCATCTGTTTACTTGGCACTCGGCCGATACGCCTTGCGTTAGCACGACACTTTTAGTGCGAAGTAAGAACGGCATAATCCCGATCGATCATCGGTGATTCAATCGCTAATCGCGTTAGTTACAGTCCGATTTTTGAAAAAAAAAAACAAACCGATGACACACGTCCGTTCGTCCACGTATACGGACAACACAACGTACAACAGCGTTGTCAAAATGTCATCAACGATGCTCCCTTTTGAAGTTGGCCATAGTGCGCAGCATCGCGCAACCACCATGATAAGAAACCTCAAGTTTCCGATAGTGAATTTCACGAACGTCGCTACGTTCAGATATGTGTGCAGGGCCGACTCACGAGAGTGAGTACCCCTACACTAAATTTTTCGACGTCACTATTCAATTCTAGATATCAATTATGAATTTTTTCATGTTATCTTGTTCTTACTTATCAATCATATCATTTTTTTCTTATAAAATCATGAGAAGTGGATAATATTTTGCAGTACCTGGAAGCAATCATGAATTTTTTCCTCCAATGTAAATTCGTGAAAAATGAACGTTCCTATATATTTTCAAAATGGATTTTTCACTTCTCGCGAATTCATGCTAGGGCAAAAGATTCATGATCGACTCTCTGAAGTAACGTGACATTTTTCAATACTGATTGTAACGCCAGATGTTCTAAAATAGCCTCGCGTTATTTTCGCGTCCTCATGATGAAACTTGCATGCGTTGAAACGATAATTCGTTTAGCAGTAAAAAAGTAATTATGGTGACAATGGTGGCGTTCAGGAGGCAGAACGGTTACACAACGGTTGAGTAATTAATCAACGTAATTGGTCTAAAGTTAAGGATCTAACAATAAGGACCAATAATCACTGACCGCTCACTGATCAGCTGTGTTTTCTGAACGCAGCCAATATTACGTAAAAAATATTGTAGTGGATCAAAAGAATCTTACGCAAGATTAGATTTTTGCTCATTTTTCTTGATCAAAGAAAAACAAAACAAAAAAAGGAAATTGGTCGAATGGAACCAATGCGAATACGTTAAAGTTAATATTTCCAACTAACCATTTCAACTACAAAAATATATTATTGATGAGAAACGTAATACGATCTACATGTTTACTCGAACTGTTATGATAACATTATGACAGAGAGAGAACTGTTTATCGATAATATGCACTTTGCACATTGGATACACGATATGGGCGCAATGTTGATATCATTTACACAAAAGGATCACGCGGAAAAAAGAAGAGCGGAGAAAAAGAAGAGGAAAAGAGTACACGCGTAGGCTCTGTGTTGGTCCAGGTGACGGCTCGAGTAACCAACAGATGAGCGTGGTTCATCATCCTGACGAAATTTAATAAAACGACGACCCTCGGTAAACTGTTTCCACGCTAGATCCAGCGCTGGATCTTACGCTAAATTAAAATATAGTGAGAGAATATCCTCCAGCGACAAACTGGAAAGTTATTTCTATTCTTATTTAGTACGGCGCATTATAAATTAATATAATATTGTGAAGAAAATGCAACGTTTCTTACTCTATTATTATCGACAGAGCGTCTCTATTAAAACTCTAACAATACAGACCCAAAGGTCAATCTATCCTCCTCGCGCGCCACCCTACATATCGCATATAGATAAGTCTGCGAATTGCACAAAGTTATTTTTAACGGTGCTGCAATAGTATGCAATAGCTGTCCCGTGTATCTATTTTGGAATAGTACTGCGAATTTCCAGACGTTTGCTCTTTATGCCATGTGATTCGAAGTAATCGATATTCGCCGCCGCGACAAGTTATATCGCGTACTCGACACATGATATCTACGACTATGATTAAATTTTATCGCGTTTAAGGAATCGCAAACATCAGAGCAAGGAGCGAGTATGCGGTGTTAGCACCGTTTTTAATACTATCATCTGGTACTTGACTAGTTTTGGTCTACAATGTACAAAATAGATATAAAAAATCTTTAGCCGTTATCTCACTAATTAGCACTTGCATCCAGTAATAAGTTGTGAATGAGTTATTCGGGGTCCAGGCGAAGAGGCCTTTCTTGACAGTTAAAAAGATAGGAAAATAGTAATAAATTAAGCAACAGTAGCAACAGTATATTAAGTAATAAATTAAATCATATGTCTGTCTTTGTTTTTCCTTCAAAATAAGCAAAATAAATACATATTTTAACTGTTAATTAGTTTACCGCTTGATTAAAGTCTTATGGCCGGTTATACCAATGTTTGGTTTTAAAAGCAAGACAAATATATATCTGTCTCTTTATTTATTTAGAAAAAAAGACGTGTTTAAACTTTACTTAAAGCCAAAATATTGGTGTAATCGGGCTTTAAAGTATAAGGTTAAAGGTTTACCACAGCTATTTCTGTAGACCGGGGCTAATTCATCGAATAGCAAGGATCGGATGTAACACCGGGTAACGGCACAAGTCGCCCATTCCATTCATAACCTTGTTACGGTACTAGGCGATGGGGTTCAAATCGATGCGACTAGGCGCAACAGCGAGCGTGGGTGTTCCAGGGTAGACTTGCGATCTCGCGCCTCCCGATTGGTCACATCCGGCATAACCTGCTGACCGATTGGCCAATAAGCCTCCCACACAACCCCTACCATCAGACGGCGTATGTAGCGTTTGCAGGCTCATTGCTACGAGGGGCCACTAGTGGCGCTTCTTCACGAACGCTACGTCGACTTGCGGAGCACACTAGCTAAAAGTCGGCGAGCGAAATCTTTCGAAATGATCTCATGCCAGATTTAGTCAGGTACGATTTTACATACATTAATAACGTTGCCTTCTGAAGGAGGGGAGAAACCAATTACTCTGACAGTTTTTACTTTTCGTTCTTGTTAGGTAGAGGAATCGCGCTATTCCTTATCATTGATGCAATTACTATCTGTCACGAGAATGCACGAAGTTAAGTTTGTAAAACGATAGAATAAAGAGATAGAATAAAGAAAAAAATGCAGAGCGACAGAATAAAGAGAACTCGATAAGTATGGATCCTCTCAATGATATCCTCCTTTTTCTGTGTTTACGTTCAAGCGTTTCCATCTTGTCTGTCTTAAAATTTCACCCCCACGCGACGTGCATCCCGACAGCACCGGGGCGCAGAGATACGGGCCTGAGGAATCACGGTCGAGACGCGCGTAATGAGCATAGACGGGTGTTCGCAGTGTGGTTGCGCACCCACTGTCACGCGCTAGCCGGGGGTAGAATCATCTAACGAGCATTGAGAGAAGAGTAGGTAGGAGCTGAGCGGAGAGAGCGGCTCACTCCACGAATCGAGAGAGCAAAGGGAGGGAGAAAGAGAAATAGAAAGATTCCGCGAAAGGACGAACGAGGGTGGTTGGTGGGAGACGCGACCCCCGCGCGTAATACATACACGTACACGCTCGTATACGTGCACACACACATACACACGGTTGACACAGCGAAGCGGAGACCTCTCGGGGCGAGGAACCTTGCGCGAGAAGCCACCCCGAGAAGTTGCTCGAACCTTGCGGAGCAGGTGCCAGTCGGCGAGCGAACGAGCGAGCAGGTGACTCTCGCAGAACGACGGTAACACATCGTCGGGCACGCGTTCGTGAGGAAAGCGGAAGCAGAGGAGCAGATCAAGAAACGAGGGAGAAACAGGCTTTCTGAGAAGTCCCGAGTTCGGAGAGGCGGCGAGAAAAAGACGAGAACTTCGGCAGCGAGGGTGAACACAGCTGTAGCAGCCTTATCCGCCTGCTTGCCTTCCACGAGACCGCGTCCACCGAGATAAGAGGATGGTACGGAGGTTCTGCAACGGCGCGGTCGCACTTAGCATCGCCCTGACGGCTTGCGCCGCCTTTCCGCGCGCCGTCATGGCGATCGACCTTAGCCGTTTTTACGGCCACTCCAACTCCAAACGCGCGGGTAAGTTGAAGCTTCTACTGACGATCACGCGAGTGGCAGAGCGAGCCGGGCTCGGAGATCCGCTGAAAGCGGATGAGAACGCGGCTTCGGGAGACCGCGTCCTCCACGATTCCGCCGCCGACGACGACGACGACGAGACGCACGCCGTGTAATCGTGCGCGCGAAAACGGATAGTAAAAATAGTAAAAAAAGGGAAAATATGCGACGGGGGTAAACGCGCGAGATTTTCCATCGATTTTCCGCGTTGGAGCGGCTACGTGCTTCGCGGCTAAACGTCGGAATACCCGCGCCTGCCTTCGCCCACAGGGTTACAGCTATCGTGATTTCTTTTTATCGACAATTAATTGTTCATGGGACGAGCAAACACTTTATATTCGCGATGTAGTAATATTGTACATTGCAGAAAAGTCACATCGCATGTGCTAAAGCCGATTTTTCAATAGTAGTTTAACCTTAGATTTTTTTAGTTTAAATTCTGTTCTAGCAATATGTTTAAATAGAGTTTAAATTGAAATCTGAGCTTAAATTATTACTGATAACGTATTTACTTATATTGATATTGTTAGTACTAATAACATATTTACTTATATTGATATAAAATATTTTTCAAATAAGAAAGTATGCCATTTTCTTAAAACCTTAAGAAAATAAATCTTATCAGCTTTGCATGAAATCAATTATTTATCTTATTTAAATGAAAACGTTTAGATTTAAAGTATTTTCTCTTAGATAAGTTTTCTCTCAGTGTATAAGAACTCAGACTAATTCGTAGCTTGCATGACCGTGAGATTCTAATTTGGGGAATCCAATTGGGGGAAGGACTCGTCAGGGACTGTAGGAAACTAATTTGCCATGAAACTTGTTAATTAGTTTGCTTAACTTTTCCGCTCGGTACCTATTCTCAATATCATTGTTGGTGTGTACAGAGGATGATATTCCATTTCTACCGTGTTATCTCGTTAGCATGAATTCTTCCGTCAATTTGGAGTTTGTCTTCCGTGACAGGATTACCCGGGAAAGTCATTATTTATCGCGTCTTACGTGTCTCCGTGGCGTCTTTGTAAATTCATTTAAAGTCACCCGAGCAGTGTGACTTTTCCATTTAAAGTTCACGTAAAGTTTAGTTCGTTAGCATTTAAATAGAACGACGCGATACAGCCACTGCTTCTTCAAACCGCTTTACATTTTTTAACGTTTTCATCGATTGGAAAACGTTCTCGACAGCAGTCGGAAAAAACTGAGCGAAAGGGTCAAGCGCGAAAGCTTCCCACTCAAATAACACAGAGAATTCAAAAAGAATTCAGTCGTACGTCACTAATTCTGAGTTCATTTTCAGATGCAAAAAAGAATCCTTCAGAATTCAGTTCAGTGAAAAGAATTCTTTTTTCATTTAGAAATAAACTCAGAATTGGTGACATATAACTGAATTCCTTTTGAATTCTCTGTACTATCTCGGCAGCTATTATATGTAATACATATAATGTGATGTATGTCTAATCCGCACACACGTAAATTTCAGCTCATAGCGAATAAACATTTTCATCATTCGGCGTTTTCCCGTTCGCGTCCACGCACGGTTGGGTTTGTAAGAGCACGGGATAAAAGAAGCTTCCAGAGAGAGGAAACGTTCGCCCTTCGCTTTCGCCAACCACCTTCTGGCAACCGTCTCTTCCATTAACATTAACGGGCGCGGAGGGCGCGATCATGACTGAGCCGTTCCACTTAAAGCCGCGGTCATACCATATGGGAGTGTGCTCTCTGGCGGATAGTTACATGTCGCTCGGTCAATAACGCGCATACTGCTCGCGTATTGTACGAGGTCGCATACATAGTCGCGTTTACGCTGACATTTAGAAAAAAAAAAAAAAACGCTTCTCCCGAGACTCGCGAACACCCCGTTCAGGGTCGGAATTGCCGCGAGGCAGTTAAACGGCCCTTCAGGTTTCCTGACTTTCCTGAAGAAGCACTTGTATTCTCATCACTAATTCACTAAACGTACAAATTCAATGCTTCATTATGTCTAACCGTTCATTGAATACGCAAAGCGATTTAAACATCGTAAAGTTAGGAACTCGACAAACTGTCGAAATTGAGAATCATTACCGACGGACTTGCGCAATAACTGTAAAAACAATGTAAGTAAGGACGCTACATAATAATAATACTAACAATAATTTATAATAATGATAATTAACAATGAATGTAATTACTGGTCAAGTTTGTCGAGTAATGACTCTAAATTTTGACAGTTTTGTGAGCAACTTTATTGCATATATACCGTTTTGTAACGCACTTATGCGCTTTTTCGTCGACTCTCACGATAAGAGTATGATAAATTTCCATCGAGTATCGTCGAAAGATTATCTGAGACAATAATTTGAAGAAACAAAAGATTCGCTTGATAAAATCATTGAGTGAACGCGTGTGTATCGTGCGGTTGGATATTCTCCGCGGGTAGATTCGATCATGCGACGTTCATCGCGCATCAAAGCCTCGTATCGAACGTGAGGCTCGAAAGGGCGAAAAGCGCACAAGGTTTCAACGTTACATCAGGAAACTCCACAACGTGCGTCCAGGGAATAAATGATCGATTGAAACACACCGCACACGGCGTGTTTCAATAACGTGTCCCTATTTAAAATTCATTGCACTCGTCGCGCCGCGTAACTCCTACGGTTGTACAAGGGAACGCACATACAAGCGGCAATCTCTTTTTAAATATTCCCCCGACGGCCATTTCATTCGGAATGCATTGAGGTCGGTGGGAGTACCGATGTCGTGGGAGTAACGAATATTCCGCGGGGCACGTTTCTCGTTGATTAGTAAAATATTTGTCCGTTATATCGCTAAATGTTCCGGACACACGGAACGCCTACATCCTTAGTCCTTATCTAAACAAGCTAAAACTGACACGTTCGCGCTTGTGTCGCTTTATTTAATAACGCTTATGGCCCATGTCGGTGATCTGACGAGACTTTTAACGCGGCGCAAATGTCATATTGGCGATACGGTCATAATTTGGCTCTGTATAGGACGTGCGTGACGACGATGTTTGCGCTGTAAATTGCTTCTACGCGAAATGTGCGCACGATTGTATAATGAATGTGGCATAATATTACACAATCGATTGCCCGGAGCGTTGCGATATTATATAACATTTATAACATATACACGAAAACCGCTTGCAACGGAAATTGCCTCGAGAGAGCCAAAAACGAAAATTTTCTCCCGGAATGAAAGCGTATTGAATAGATATGCGAGAGTATTGAGATCAATGTTCTAATGATTGAAATGCTAAGAGAAAGCACGATCAATATTATATTTTTATTAATGAATTATTAATTAAGCTAACATTTATATAAAATTTAGTTTATCAGCGATAGAGAAACAATAGGAAGTAAAATAATCAATAAATATTAATTATAATTTTAATGAAATATTAGATAATGCTAGTTGTAGCAATCGAACTGAAAAATTAATCATGTTTTAACTGATAAATAATACTCAATGATTGAACAATCTTTAAATAATATCCCAATTTGCAGAAAGAAATATCTTCTTTTCTTTTTCTTCTTCTCTTCTCTTTTCTCTCTTTTAACAAAATCTCAAAAGTTGTGTTAGAAATATTAAATATGTTGTTAATGTCTCAATCATATATTAGGACAAGACAATTACTGGGACATTTATCTTAAGTACATTAGAATTGCTAGTGCTTCAACGTCGTTTCTCGAGCTATCTCTTCCTGAGCTACTGAAGACAAGAACAAATTTGTTCTCGCGCTTTGGAGGGTCACAAAAGGGTTCTCGCCGGGATCTTTTATATGATAGATAAGATATTATCAAATTGACTCTTGCAAAATGGCTCGAGGTGTGCTTCTTTCATTTCATTTAATGGGACGCTAAGTAAAAGTTTCATTTTCGAGTAGCTCTCATCGAATTTGATGACATTCACTTCGGGTGTTTTTCTTAGTTTCTACATAAAAAAGGGACGTGAGAGAAAATATATAACGAAAATTGTAACAAACGAAAGGACTTGGCGGATGATCTCACGAATTTTAACGCAGCACTGTGTGAAACGCTCATATTTGCGATTGTTCTTCCAGTTCTGTCTTCTGTCAAATTTCGAGAATTGTTGGAATAATTCTTGAGAACCGTCAACCGCGCTCTGGTTGTCGCGTGAGTAATACTATCGCGTGCTCCTCAATTATCTCGAAAGCATCGTATTATACGAAGGGGTGCTGCCTCATTATCCATATGCGTTACTAATTTTGTTCCAGATCCCTTTCTCCCGCCCTCCTCTGTCTACGCTTTAATACCCGTTGACGTCAGTAATTTAATTATCTCATAACTTGTGTGATCTTACGACTCATCATATTGTTCTCTTTTTGAACTTTCGTTTCAGCGAAGTAATTATAAGCCGTGTTAAACACACGATATATTGTTAATCATGCGGATTTCGTGGGAAATGCATATATCAAACTTTTAACAACGGAAATTCAGCGTTCATTGCGTGCATTTTTCAGGAGAAACTTGCCACCCGTACGAGCCGTTCAAGTGTCCGGGTGATGGCATCTGCATCTCGATACAGTACCTGTGCGACGGTGCACCGGATTGCCAGGACGGATACGACGAAGACTCAAGATTGTGCACTGCAGGTGAGTGATCATATTAGTACACGGAAAAAAAAAGATGCGCACAGTCAGAAATATTTAGTTGTGAATAACGTAGTTGCGTCATCCTAGTTATCTTCATGTGATGATGATGTGCGTAATTGATACGATTCAGTTACTACATCAATATAGTTGTACGTGATATCTGATTGTGGCAGCCAGAAGTCGGTTGGGATGACATTTACCATGAATACGCTCTGATTGGAGCAACCAGATATTATCACTGCTGCAACGCCAGTAAATCAGCGATCGTTTGATGGTTGCAGCGACCACATAATTAGGTTCCTCCGTATTTTACTGTTCAATCTGACTGACACAACCAGACTGTTGTATAATTACAAATCTTGCATATTAGTACAATTCATAATTAAAATTTAACACGCAGCTCCCGAAGTTATCAGTGAGAGATCAATTGCTAGCTATAAGAAAGTGGTTGGTCTCCGATGTATCTTGTACTTTTGATACTTTTTCTCACACATGTCTAATACTACTTTTTGTTACGTAAAGCTTACCGTGTGATTTATGACGCAGACTTAATTTAGACACGTTGCACAGTAGGTGGATGCAATAATACCGTCCGGTGTGGATGTACCCGACGACGCTCCGTGCAGCTGCACCGGCCGTCACCGTGTAACGATAACGTTCGATACAAATGCACTGCTGTTTTGTGCGTTCATTTAATTTGCGCTCATTGTTTCTACACCAGTTACTATTATTCGTTATTATTTGCTATTGCCAATTATTATCGAGAAAGCAATTAGAAAGAGGAAAACGGAGAACCAATTGTGATTAATCTTAAGTGATATTCATATTAATAGTGTTTTCATTACATCGACAATTAAACTACGCGTTGGCAGTTACCTTACATCATACTCAGCCGTTGTAGAGAGAAAACTCGTATACGTGTTGTTGCAGCTAAACGACCACCAGTGGAAGAAACCGCGAGTTTCCTGCAATCTCTGCTAGCCAGCCATGGTCCCAATTATCTGGAGAAGCTATTCGGAACTAAAGCGCGCGACACGCTAAAGCCTCTCGGTGGCGTGGACAAAGTAGCCATCGCGTTGTCTGGTAAGTACTACTGATCTGCACACAATACGAACTTCGCAAAACGTCCACTTGTTCTATATTGAGTGATATCGTTTCGATCACGAGTATATGAAAGGAATAAGATCAGTGCTCAAGATAAATCGCGACATTGACGAAGACAACGACGACCCGCGATTCAAGTGAAATGAAATTGACTTGAATTTTTCGATTGAAGTTGGAATTCGTGGAAAATAATCGAGAACATTAAATATATTAAAGAATCGCAGACGATCGAGGACTTTGGCGCGGCGTTGCACCTGTTGCGCGGAGATCTCGAGCACTTACGCTCGGTCTTCATGGCTGTGGAGAATGGCGACTTGGGTATGCTAAAATCTATTGGCATCAAGGACTCCGAGTTAGGCGACGTCAAGTTCTTCCTCGAGAAGCTCGTGAAAACGGGCTTTCTCGACTGAACGAGGACGTCCGCTGAATCGTCGCCGTCACCATCGCCGTCGCCGCCACCGCCACCGCCGCCGACGCCGACGCCGCTGCCGACGACGACGAGCCGTGTCGACGACGCATTACCGTCGTCGTCGCACCAGCCCCCTCGTTTGATGCAGCCTAAGTCGTCCTTGTCGCAGGCTCCTGCACCCTCTCTACGCTGCGCGTCTTCGCGTTTCGTCGTGGACTTCTTGCGAGTCGCACGATATAGTCTCTTTCCACTGTCCCTTCTGCTACACTTCCCGAGCCTTCTGCTCTTGCTTCGCAATGAACGCCGCGAGCACTGAGATACGTCGAGATCCGCATAGGAATGAACGGAAGCGAGTCGATTCTCTTGCGCGGACGAACGATCAGTCAAGCCTTTCCGTTTCGCGTTTCATAGTCGATCACGTTTAGATAATTTTTCGATAGTTTTTTTCCGGATGATGGGTCGATTCGTTTGGGGGAAGAGCACGACAATCGGGGAGAAGCTGCGATCAATAGCTGGCAAGTCGCATGTACTTTTCTTCAGGCAAGCTACTTTATCGTAGCTTAAATTTGCATCTATCGATATTTTACACGACTCTGTTTCTGGTGAGAAGAAGGTATGAGAGCGATGTATGAAAGAAAGCTTTAATTGAGGGGCTGAGAAACGCTTTCTTTAGACAATTCGCGATTTATTATTTGTTGTTCTTTTAACTTCTTCGACTGAAACGTCTCGAAATGAGTGAAAACGACGTTTAGACGAGTCTGTCCCTACATCCCCTCAATTATTAATCCTAAATAATGTTATTTCATACGGTCGAATTATCGTCAACGTGAACTTGGCTCTACTTTGGCAAAACTTATGTTTCGCTGTTTTTGCTTCCTCAGCTGTGTGTCAAAGCGTAATCTCTCTTTTCGTGTGAACAAGTAATGAGCTTTCATCCGACCTATTTCTAAAATATTGAGCTTCCTGGTATCTTGTAATTACACAGGGTTTTCCCGCCTTTATGCTTATGTGCACTGTCGCGTGTCCCGGTTTTACTTGAACCTTGTCTTCAATATGCAAGCACGTATATTACAGTGTATCACCTTGCATAAGTGATGAGTTGTCGACGACAATCGTTTGTGATCGACTGCGACGTAACCGTCCGACAGTTGTACACTAAACGTATACGAAGCAGAAAATCTGCAAAAGATGATTCTTATCGCGGGAACCTAAAATATACAGATTTCTTGTAACTATCGAAGATTAAACGATCGGTCACGTAATCTAACAATTGGAAGATTTGAGAAATTTATAATTATTTCGAATATTTCTTACAGAAAAAATTATTGTCGACTAATATATACCCACGTTTAATACCTGCGATTAAACATTCTCAAAGCCGGTAAGGTCACTTTTAAATGATTCTTGACGAGATTGCCACTTTTATGTTTCAAGAAGAAACTTTGTAATAAGAAATTCTTTAAATGTAATTACGTTCGAGCACGGAATATTAGTTTTGTAGTAAAAAACACATTACTTTTTGAAAAGGTCGTGGTGGAACGTGAACTGATCTTAACATAATATCTTTGTTTCTTTAATCATCTCTGTTGTTTCCTCTTTTTTTCATAATACGAATTAATGCATGCAGTTTTTCGACCATTATAGAAATCTTCTTAATTCTCGAGAGAGAGAGTACGATTTCTTACCATCTTCTTTATAAATTTATTCATCTTCTTGAAGGTGTGCAACCGTTGGACTGGATGTTATCGAAGCTGTGCTTCGGTAAAAATAGGGGTTGGGGAGTTTTTGTGCAGATATATCTATATACTCTTAGCTACTTTTGCATTATTACAGAAGAACGCGATCGCACGTAACGATTGTTCTCGTTACTCTTGCTTATAGAGTCGAGTTATACCTCACTACTCGCTTCGCGCAAGCTAAACGACGATGCTGTGAAATTTGTGTTGTTTGTATGATTACAGAATAATGTATTTTATATATTGCCGCGAGACATAGAGACAATGGCTTTTTATTCGACTACTGCTGGAACAGTACCGCGTTAGTAAATTGATTTCGACCGTTGTTCTCTCAATGTATTTTTTAATTTAGCTTTAACGCAATCGCCATTGTCTGCTCGAGTGCCGCGAGGCAATACCGTAACATATTGATTATATATATATATATATATATATATATATATATATATATATATATATATATATATAACAAAGAAAAAAACAGCGAATATCGTTTGCACGTAAATCGCAAGCTTCTGGTATTTAAAGTGGCATTCAACGCGTTAATTGCAAGATTGAATGCAGTTATGATGCGACCGCCTTGTTGGCGCTAAATATGCGGTGAGAATAGAGTTTTACCAGTCTTCGGGCCCGAGAAAATAGATTGCATTTAATTTCTCTCGGTGCATTTTTCTCTTAGTGCGTCACGCGATCAACAATACAGGCAACACGATGTCGGCAACGTTTTACAGCGCGCGTTTTGAGATCGACGACGACGACAACGACGAGAAAAGATGCGGGTACAAAAAGCGGAGCATCGCGTTGCGTTCCTTCAGGGTATGATGCGCGAGTTTTACTTAAGTGAAAAAGAGAAAGAAAGAAAGCAAGATATAACGCTAGCGTATTGATATTTTCATTACGGCAACACGATACATATCAGTACACATACATATCAGTAAATTATATGAAGAAATATATAGTGAAGTAAACGCGCGCGGGTTCTCTCGAGGTGGCGTTCCCCGTCGCGCTTTCGTTTTACTTCGAGGAGAATTGACAACGTATATTATAAATTCTTAATATATATATATATATATATACACACGCGCTAAAATAATTGTTATTTGCGACAATCGACGATGTTGGGCGGACGGGCGAGTCCGGCATGTTTACCTCGAAAGAATTCCCCCGTCTCTACCTGCTAAAGGTATCTTCTAGTCGAACGATTGAGACATATCATCTTCTAATTGTAAGCGAACTTAGGTATATATACGTACATACATATAGACGTATTCTATATGCATAGCGATTAACAGAGATATCACTTTTATCAGATGGTAGATAATATTTTGGTATATAAAAAAAATTAAAAAAAGGTGTAATATTCCCTCCAGATGTCAATTACGGTCCAAAGTAGGGCCTGGACCGAGGGCAAAATCCGAGGGAACTTGTGTATGTTAGTGAGCGAACACGGGCGCGCGGAGGGTCAAGGCGCCGCGACAACTCCGCCCCGCACGCGCCTTGACCTTCTAGCCCAATTTCAGCGTAAGTTATAAGGTCACAAATCTTATTCTCCCCCGAGAGAGCGGCAGACGGAGTTCTAATACCTGATATATACATATATATGTCACGTTTCCGACGCGCGTTACCAATAGTCTTGGAGTGACAAGAGATTACTTTTGACCTCTTTCTGCTGCTGCACTGTATTTGTCTCACGTGTATTATTTATTTATTTTCATGTTATTATATTATTCCGCGTGTATCACGCATTTTTAACATTTATTTGCGCCTCTAGAGACAGAGAGAGAGAGAGAGAGAGAGAGAACTGGTTTATAAGAGATTAGCTCATCAAAAATCTTCTAACAAAATTTTTAAATTAATATTCTTTCAAAGGAAAGATGATTTCAAAACATTTACTCGAAGGATCATTCTAAATTACCGCACCTCTTCTTTTTTTTCACAAGTCATCGGAATTGATATAATTTTAAAACACTATGGCAGAGCGCGACATGCAACTGACATAAAACCGAGTAAAACCGTTGGTTTAAGAAAAATTGTTGACCGTCCATATTCTGTTTCGGTGACAAATGGCCTAGTTTTTCGCTATGCCCTTTGGTATTATCGTTCCGATGATAACATAAAGAGCTTGGCGGTAAAACTAAATGGCTAGAATGATAATGCATAACAAAAGGCTTGTCAGATGTCATTTGTTATCTTTAAAAGAAATTAATCTCGAACGATTATTTTTTTTTGTGTTGGCAATAGTGCGAAACGGTGCACGATTGTAAATAATTTATATTAAACAACATATATTTTCCGCGCATACACATCTTTTTCTTATTCAAATTCTGTGACTATAAATAAATATTTGATTTGGCTTCCGATCTGATAAATTGTGTTTTCTTATATGTATTGTATGTATGTAGATTTTCTTTTTTGCAATGATATCCCTCGCGATTTATCGATCGGGACGGTAGGAGTTTGGAAAATAGAGAAATAAGGAATTAGCGTCACACAAAGCGTGATTTCTTCATAAATTCAACTATGTGGAAAATGTTGCGACAGCTCCTGCGAAAATACCTCACCCGGATCAGCTATTATGCGCGCGATTACACGGTTAATTAATTAATTAATACACGGAAGATATAATTCATATTTTTGCGAGTGTAATATGTTTACACGTACGCATACATATTATATGTACACGTTTCATTCTGTAGTTCTGTTACTCATTTATATTGACGTTATGTGTGTATGTGTTATTACGATACATACACATTGATCATGTTAACGTATTAAGTTAATCAATAAATCAAAGCGATTATGTAAGGGACGTACGTCCTTTTAGCCTTGTCACTTCAAACCAATGGAATATACGCGACGCATGTGTTTACATATATATCTATATAACCATATATATAAAAGATAAAAAAAAAGAAAAAGAACTTACTGACCACCTTAATTATCGAAATATAACAATGTGATAATCTACTAAAATCACGCACCGTCGTATCTATATATGTTACTTTTCGACTTCTAATTGTTCTACTGCCAAAGCATTCTTATTATACGGCAAACTGCGACACGTATGTACACTATAAGTAATTCCCCTGGCTTCTTCGAGTTTTGTACTTTCATTCACTGAATATGATATTCCTGATGATCATTAAGCAAAAAAAGAAAACAGAAATTTAATGTTTCATCAGTTTTAATTGGCAAACTTTGAGAAATTACACCATGTGAGAGGATTTCAATGTTAAACGCGTGTGCGATGAAAATTAACATACGTCGCATATTATTCGACGAACGCGAATCACGAATCTGTAGCCTTCGTCCTTATACTTCTTGCAAACATTACTTTTTACTATATCTCGCCTCTTTATTAATTTGTACTATTTTACTGGCTATTTCATAGAATATTCTCTAATCTGTATAGCGTTTCCTTTCCATTTGGCACAGATACTTTCGTGTCTTTTAGAGACAGGAATTGAGTGAATCTTGCTACTTCAGATCGTGCTAGAAGGAGTATCAATTAGAATATTGCGATATTACTTCAAACAGCTTGTTTTTGAATCGTTTAAACAATAAAATATTATAAAAGATGTGAAGAACCTATTTATTTATCCAAATAGTTTATACTGTTATAGCATGTATTTTAAATTTTACGGAACATACAATTTATATATAGAACTTATAGGTAATAGGTAATGTATAAGTACACATTTGTACACAGAACTTATAAGTATATTGATAAAATTAATTTCCTTTCATTGTCCCTTCATTTGGTTTTATCAATTTATATTTCTCCGTAGTTCCACCAAAACTCGTTGATTGGCTCTATCGATTTGTATTTTTTAGTAGTTCCATCAAGATCCTTCACTTCCTCGTCTAAGCTGGTTGAATCTACCTCGTATTTCTCAATACTTCCATCAACATTCTCCACTTTATCATGTAAGTTGGTTGGTTCTATTAACTCGTATTTCTCGGTAGTTCCACCCAAACTCTTCAGTTCCTCGACTAAGCTCAGGATATTAAACCCGCGTGAGATTATCAATTTTTGTTGATTTGGTCGATTGCGGGATTCAAGACCCATTGAATAAGCGACTCTGAAATAAATTTAAAAAATATCATCATTAAGCATGCAAAACTTTTTTATTATATCTCATTTCATCATTGTTATTTAAAACACAATTCAATAATAAAGAAATTATCATAAATAATCTTATTTTATAATTTGTTATATAATATAGTAACCTAATATATAATATATAAATATAATGTGTATGTATAGAAAAAGAGGAAGGAAAGGGAAGGGGGAGGGAAAATCTGGAGCATGTTAATATTTTCAAGAATAAATAATACGTACTCATGGATTATTAGTCTTTCATCGTTGGTAAAATCCGTAGAAAATATTATATTGTATTGCACATTTTCCACTAGGAACTTCTCAAAAGCGATCTTACATTTGGCTTTCAGTTCACACATACTAGAGGAATTTGATGTTAGACCCAAATTCTCTCGACTAAGCTGTTGATTAAGCCTAAAAAGACGATAAGGATTTTCTGTTGTTGTGTCTCTAATAGCTTATATAAGAACAAATGTTGTCTAAAAATTAGTTGCAAAAAATCGTTAAATACTAACGTCACAGGTTCCTTCATGCTCTGCAGGGATTCTCTAATTATATCACCGCTCTGACCAATTAATTTCATCAACTTCTTTCCAATCTTATCCTCACGAATATTATTTTGAGACATCGTTTCTTCTAACGTCGTTAAAGTTACATTCGTCTGTGCATCTGTATTTTGCTTTATCTAAGTTTCAACAAATATGAATGAATAAAAATGTTGTACTTTATATTTATTTATTATATTATTCTATATATAATGAGAAAACTAAATTGATTTTAAGAACCAATTTTCTCTAATGAAGCTGGCTTCAGCAATACTTTATTACGACAACTCTGAAGCACTAAAGCAAAATATTTCACAAAATATTTTTTTCTTATTTTATACATATTTATGTCTACATTTTTAGACAACTTCTCATCTGTCTAGATATTAAACTTTTTTTTTTAGACATCTACTTAAGCAAATTTATTTTTCTTGCCTTTTACCTTTATAGTATAACAATACTTTCGTAGTTCGTTTAATGCAAGTGCAAAAGCTGTTTTTTTAGCGCCTTTACGACTACGATCAGAGCCACATGCTACTTGATTTGAATTGATATATATAGTGCAATCGCTGAAATAAAAAAAAAAAGATAAAATAAAATAATAAGAAATAACATCATGCCCATTATATATTAAATACATAAATTATGTATTTTATAAGTTACATATGTAACAATTTTCTTTATCCTATGTTACAAAAGTGTTGCACATACCGTGGGTTGTAAAACCTTGTAAACCTTGTAAATCTCCAATTAAGATTTTTATTAGATATGCCAAATGAATGCTTCAGTATAGTTTCTGGTTCATCACCTGGTTTTTCCACCAGAATAATATTTCTGTATAAAAGATCTTTTTTGTCCTTAGATAAAGACTCCATAATACTGGTACTAGGATTATTTTCTGTTTTAGTGTTCTCAACCTCAGATTTAAATTTCTTGTTGTTTTGGTTGTCTGATATATGTTCTTCTATGATAGTAGATTTTTTTATAATACACTCTATATAGGAAAAATTAATAGTTGAAATATCTATTATATGTACCAAATCATAGTTATAATAAGATTTTAAAAATAAAACTTTTCCTATTTAATAAATAGTTTCCCAATTTAATAAATAAATAAATATATTCTGTGTAACAGAAAAAAAAATAAAAATAAATAGTATAACTTACAATGTGTGTGTTAGGGATTGTGATGATAAAGCGTCGAAGAACGGAAGCAAAAACGTTTTTGTTTGAAGCTAGTTTTTCGAGAACAGTTCGGTAAGCGATGCACTTTTGACCGATTTTTATATATACCCTCTCCTCTTTACTCATCACCCCATGTGCAGATCAGTGATGGATTTTCTTCTCAGACGAGAGTGTGTGCGCATCGAGACAGTTCATTGGATGAAACGTCGTCGCTTATGGATGCACACACAACTCCAGCCTGAGAAAAAAAAACCAGAAACCTTACTTTTGAAAAATATTGCATACGATATTTCAATGAAAAGTTATAATATACATAACATGAATTATAGCTTCATTGCTTGCATATGAGGCGACGAGGCAAGGAGAACGGGAGGCAAAGACGTTTCAGAATCGACTAAAAGAAAATGCATCGCTTGCCGAGTTTTGCAGAGAACAAAACTCCAGAAACAATAACCAAGTGACGAAAAACAAGCGTCAATGTTTTGTCCTTCTAGACAATCGCTGGTCTCCTATATAGTTCGGAAATCCGTTGTTATTATCGTCGATGCGATTTAAACTGCTAATATTTTTTTGTATATCAGTCAAAATGTTTAAGGAAGTATCAAGTATACCGTTCGTGTAGTCAATTTTCATTGCTTTGTCCTCGATCTTTTCCTGACAATCACCACTGGCATAATTAAAAATAGTAAGTTCGCATCGATCGTGAAAATTATGTGTTGCGTGTACATATGAAATTTGGTCGTTTGAACTGAATACATGTTATTCGATTGAGAAAAAGGGAAAAGATCAATACCAGGTGTCCTCGTAATCGCCGGTGTAACTACGCATAAAAACACTTTTACTGCTAACGAAATATCCGACATGTTTCATTGATGTACCATCGAATCAAGGACAGGCTCAACTACGTCCGAGTATGTCGATATATTCGGCGGGAAGAAATTGACTCTTCAATTCGTGTGTTACGTAATTAGTGTTATGTAACGCTCGGCTACGAGGAAACGTTAACTGTCAACTCTAAACAATCGACAACTGTTCGAACGAAGATAGGTCGCTCTCACTACCGAAAGGTTTCATATTTAAGAGCTTCAAGTTGTTCTCACGCAGCAATGTAAATTTGAAAAAGCGACTTTCGTTCAAAATTGTTGAGATTAGTTTTTCACGTACTTTGATCCAGTTCCTCGACTAAGTTGGTCAGTTCTATCGATTCATATTTCTCGGTGGTCCACTCAAAATCCTTCATTTCTGCATCCAAGCTAGTTGATTCTGTCAAATCGTATTTCTCAGTAGTTCCGTCAACACTATCCAGTTTATCGTCTAAGTGAGTTGGTTTTATCAACTCGTATTTCTCGTTAGTTCTACCACTCTTCAGTTCTTCGAATAAGTTCCGGAGATTGACCTTATGTGAGATCACCAATTTCGCTTTATCTGAGGGGCCACAGCTGCAAGATTTAAGACCCATTGAACGCGCGACTCTGAAATAAATAAAAAACCGCATTAAGCACATAAAACTTTTTTCAATATATCTCATTTAATCATTGTTATTTAAGACATAATTCAACTTAATAATGAATTATTACTTCTTAGAAATAATCTATATCATATGTATTATATAATACAGTGTATTATATAATAATATTTGTGGGTGTGTATATGCACACACATATACATATTCAGAAACAGAGAATTTAGAAGATATTGATAGTTTAAGGATAAGTGATACACACTTATGTATCATTGCTTTTTCATCATTGGTAAAATCTGTAGAAAATACTATATTGTTTTGTATATCTTCCCTTAGGAACTTCTCAAAAATAATCTTGCATTTGGCTTTCAGTTCCTGGTTCATTTCCATATTGGAACATGATTTCAGACCTAAACCTTGTCGGCCGAAATATTGTGCATGAAAGATGTTGTTCCTAAAAAGACAACGATATTTGTTGTTGTATTTCTAAGTTTGTTTAAAAGCAAGTTTGCTTAAAAATTAATTAAACGGAAATATCGTTGAATACTAACGTCACAGGTTCCATGATGCCTTGCTGAGATTTTCCAAGACCACCACCGCTCCAACCCATTAACTTTAGCAACTTTTTTCCAATGTTGTCGTCAGAGATAGTATCCTCAGACTTCATCTTTTCTATCATTGTTAAAGTTACGTTCATCTCTACATCTGAATTCTGCTTCATCTGAATTTTAACAGATATAAATAAAGTGTTGTGCAGTATTGTTCTTATTATTATTATCATATTTGTACAATAAAAAAAAGTTAATTCTAAGAACTTTTTTCTTTAAACATGCTACCTTCCGCAATGCGCAACGATCGCAACGATTCTGAAGTTAAAGCAGATGATTCTGCAGAATATTGTTTTTTCTTCATTCTATGTATATTCTATGTATATTTATTTAAATTTTCATTTCCTTTTATATATATTCTATGTATATTTATCTAAATTTTTATAGTTTCCCATTTGTCCAAATACTATCTCTTTGCATATCTACATGAGTAAGTGTACTATTCTATCTCTTACCTTGATAGTATAGTAATATTTTCGTAATTCGTCTAATGCAAGTGCAAAAACTGCTTTTTTACCGTATTTCCGATTGCAATCAGAGATACATGCTACTTGCTTTGAATTGATACAAATAGTGTAATCGCTAAAATAAAATACAATATGTACATTACAATTTATATATTTTATAAGTTACATATGTAATAATTTTTTTATTCATTGTGTTACAAAAATGTTGCACATACCTTGAGTTACAAAATTTTGTACGTTTACATTTACAATCTTTTCTAGATATGCCAACTGAATTCATCAATATAGTTTCTGGTACATCACCTGGTTTTTCCACCAGAATGATATCTCCGTATGGATTTTTTTCCTTCTTACATGAAGATTCCATAATATTAGATTCCATAATACTAGGCCTTTTATAATTATTTAATGTTTCAGTAGTGTCTTCAATTTCAGATTTTAATTTTTTGTTGGTTTTCTTTGATGTAGCTTTTTTTGTGATAATAGATGTTTGAGTAACACATCCTATATAGATAAAATAATAGTTAAAAACCTAAATTATTATATAAATGCTAAATCATTGTTACAATACATAATTGTAAAAAATAAATAGATCTTTTCTAAGTTTAATAAATACAAATAATACATTGTATAACAAAAAAGTAGAAAAAAATTTAAAAATTGTACACTGAGAGAAAACTGTTTAGTATTTACAACTATAATCATATAGAGAAATAATTACTATAAATTATGGTTAACCATTTTTTAGTCAATTGTACTATAATTTTAGGGATAATAATCTTATATGCAGGTTACTACTACTATCTTCCTATTAGAACAACTAAAAAATATAGTTGGTGTCAAATTAGGCCTCAACTATATTTTTTGGTTGTTCCAACACAAAGATAGTAGTAGTAATCTGCATATAAGATTATTATCACTAAAATTATAGTACAATTGACTAAAAAATGGTTAACCATAATTTATAGTAATTATTTCTCTATATGATTATAGTTGTAAATACCAAATATTTTTCTCCCAGTGTACAAATCATAAAGTTAAAAATCGTGACGATCAAAACTGTTCCTATACAGAAATACAGATTTGAACAAACGACTTTCGTCTGAAATTGTTGATAGCAATTTTTTACGTACGTGTCTCCTCGACTAAGCTAGTTGCTTCTATCGACTCGTATTTCTCGATGCTGTCTTCAAAATCCTTCGCTTTTTCATCTAAGTTGGCTGATTCTATCAACTCGTATTTCTCAATAGTTCTATCAACAATGTTTAGTTCATTGTCTAAGTCAGTTGGTTGTATCAACTCGTATGTCTCGGTAGTTCCAGCTAAACTTTTCAGTTTCTCGAGTAAACTTTGGACATTGACTTTGTGAAATATCACTAATTTCGTTGGATATGAGGAGTCATCAATATAGCATTTAAGACCCATTAAACACGCGATGCTGAAATAAATAAAAAAACCGCATGAAACACGTAAAACTTTTTCAATATATCTTAATCATTGTTATTTAAAACATAATTCAATTTAATAAGGAATTATTATTTCTCAGAAATAATCTATATTATATAGTTATATTATATAATATAGTAATATATGTACGTGTATACACGTATATACATATATAGAGACAGAGAACATTGATAGTTTAAGAATAAGTGATACACACTGAAGGAGCGTTTGTTTTTCTTTGTTAGTAAAATCCGTAGAAAATACTATATCGTGTTGCATATCTCCCATTAATAACTTCTTAAAAATAATCTTGCATTTAGCTTTCAGTTCACACATATCAGAGGAACTTAATTTCAGATCCAAACCCTCTCGATTGAGCTGTTGTTTAAGCCTAAAAAGACAATAAGAAATAAGGATTTTTTACTGCAGTATTTCTAATAGTTTGTTTAAGAGCAAGCATTGCTTAAAAATTATTTGAAAGGAAATGTCTTTGTCTACTAACATCACAAGTTCCATGTTGCCCTGCTGAGAACTTCTAAGACTCTCACGGGGCCAACCTAGTAACTTCATTAATTTTTGACTGTTATCGGTATGGACCTTATTCTGGGATTTGGTCTTCTCTATCGTCGTTAAGGTTGCATTTGGATTTTGCTTTATCTGAATTTTAATAGATATAAATGAAAATAATAAAATGAAAATAACAAAATGTTGTTTTCTTCTTATTATATTATCATATTGTACAATAAAAAGAAAGTTCTTCTTATTATATTATCATATCTTCTTATTATATTATCATATTGTACAATAAAAAGAAAGTTGATTCTAAGAACCATTTTCTCAAAATATACTATGTATAATAGCAATATATAATCACAACAATTCTAAAGCTAAAACATATTATTTTGCAGAATATTGTTTTCCTTTTATTTCTACATATGTTTATCTAAAATGTTATGGTTCTTCATCTATCCAAATACTATCTTTTTTTACATATTTACTCAAGCAAATATACTTTTCTGTTTTTTACCTTAACAGTATGGTAATATTTTCGTAATCTGTCTAATGCAAGTGCAGAAGCTGCTTCTTTTGCAAATTCCTTCTTGCAACTAATGGCACATGCTACTTGTTCTGAATTGATGTAAATAGTGCAATTGCTAAAATAAAAAAAGTAAAAAAATAAAAGAATAAGATATACCATCATACATGTTACAAATTATATTTATATTATACATAATATTATATTATATTATATTTATATTATACGTATTACAAATTATACTTCACAAATTACATATATAACAATTTTCTTTATGTTACAAGAGTATTGCACATACCATGAGTTGTCAAGCTTTGTATATTTCCATTTAATATTTCTACCACATAAGCCAACTGAATGCTTTAGTATAGTTGCTGGTACATCTCCTGGTTTTTCCACCAGAATGATATCTCCGTATGGGAGATCTTTTTTTTCCTTAGATAGAGATTCCATAATACTGGTATTAGGCTCTTTATGATTATTTACTATTTTAGGCTCCTCAACTTCAGATTTTATGTTGCTTTTGTTTGATATCAGTTCTTCTGTGATAGAAGATTTTATATCAATACATCCTATTTAGGAAACATTAATAGTTGAAATATTAAAATTTTTATATAGATATCAAATCATAGTTATAACATGTGATTTTAAAAAATAAATAAAAATTTCCCAAATTAATAAATACAAAATATACAGAAAAAGAAAAAAAATAGTATTACTGAGTATTACTAATATTAAGTGTCGTAATGATCAAAACTTTGAAGAACGATAGTGAAAATATTTTTGTTGAAACTAACTTCTCTAGAACAAAATTCGCTAAACATTGCCGGCAAGACGCAATTTCCAGCCAAATGTGAAACATCCCCACTCCTCGCTTGTCACCCCATACGCAGGTCAGTGATAGGTTTTCTTCTTTGGCGGGAGACTGTGCGCATGCGTCAAGACTCTTCATTGGCTAAGATATCGCTTGCGCATGCGCATAGGGCTTTGGTAAAAAAACAAGCTTTAAAAAATACCGCGTACAATATTTCAATGAAAAACTATAACATACGTAACATGAACTATAACTTTTCATAAAAATATTATATAGGAGTATCACATCCATAGAAATATGCAATATTTTTCGAGAATAAAGCAAAGTCTGCAGCTGGCGCAGGCAATAGGTGCTTTCAGTAGTACATACAACTATTCATTGAGCTCTTACATTCGATTGGAGAGAAGGGGGGGGGGGCATAATATTCCTTTAATTCTAAAAATATATACTAATCAAATACAAAGGCTCACTAAACATTCAGTGAGCGGTTGTAGTATTGGATGTATCAAGCCTTAAGGAGATGCTGAAGTCGATGACGAACTTGAACAATGTCGATAATGCAGAGACGATCGTCACTAAAATAATCACGTTATCCGTTTCATTTTTCTAGTATATACTGAACTCATTAGGTTTGTTTTTCGTTCCTGCACTGGGATTGCACTAGAACTGAACTGAACTGGTGTAAGTTAGAACTGACGAGTGTAAGCGTGCAGTCAAACAATAAAGAACGCTTTAGTGCACAAGCAACATAGCGGACCACATTGCTTGTGTGCAAGTAAACATGTTGATTATAAATGTTTACTTATATTTACTGTAATACTTTCTTTTCAATAAGGAAACTTTTAAATAAAGAAATAATAAAAAAGTGTTATGTATGAGTATGCAGTTTATTTCAATCTATTTTATTACGATAAAGAACGCAGACAACAGTAAAAAATAATTAACAAATAAGTATTATATTAAGTTAAAAGTATAATTAACATTTGCATACAATCAGCAATATTTGTACGTTTGAATGTAAAAAATAAAATAAATAAATATACTTAAAACATTACTATTATAGGTAACCTTGGTAATATTTGGCATCTTTAATGCATTATATATAGACAAACACAACCTCATAAAAGTTTTATTATAAGATATATTCTAAAATTAAACATAATATTGCACTGAATGCAATCAAAATCAAATCGAATGTAATCAAAACAAAATTCTTGAAAAAATGGCAATTATTAAGTGATATATTAGAGATTATAATTATTATAAAAATACCATGTACAATCATAGACAGAACAATACTTGCAGTCGCAATACCTTGTCAAATTCTTCAGGAACTGCTTGCTTCAGAAAGCAGTCTGAAAGAAAGTAACAGTATATTAAAATGCAATAATAGTTAAGCAATAACATTATTAAATACATCAAATAATTAATTATATATTATTATCTTATAGAGTAATCGAGTTATTGAACTTAATATTAAGCTAATCCTTCAGATACGTTGGTAACAAGTTTTCTAAAACAATTATAAGTTTCTCAAATAAGTTTCAGTCCATTTACTGTCATTAATAGCTTGTATAGCAGCAGTATCTGCCATTTTTTGTACAGCATGTACAATTTCGGTGATTGCCAGCGCATTCATTTTAAATGCTTCTGCTTGGATTTTAACATATTCAACATGTATCTGAAACATTCCAATATAATTCATAAATGACTTATAATTCTTATTTTAAAAATCACATTCTACCTTTGATGAAAATAAAAGAGTAAGAAAAAATATCTAATGTCTAATAAATTTTTTCCTCTTTTGCTCTGAAGATCACCGAAACTCTATGCATTTTAGATAAAATGTTATTAGGAGTGTATCTGAGGTATCAAAAATATAGACAAATTTATAAAACTTCAGGAAACTTTTCCTTTGTTATCTATAATATACTTTAAAAAATGTTGTTATATAATATACTTTAAAAAATGTTGTTATATAATATACTTTAAAAAATGTTGTTTGCAAGTTATGGTAGAGCGACCCTAACTTTTGCCTACAATTGTACCTTAGATACATTTTTAAACATCACAGACAGCAATAGAAGATTTTGTTTTATGATCTCAGCATTGGTCTGTTTTTGAGCAATAAATTGAAAATTTTCTCTGAATGAACGCAATTGTTCAGACGATTTAACTCGATTATCTGTAATAATCAAAATGTCAAAAATATTTTTAAATATTACATACAGGACCCCTATTCTTGAAATTTTTGCATATACGTAATTTTTATTGCGTAGCTATTTTATAGTATAATTAAACCTGCGCAGTAAAACTTACGTATACACAACTATTTCAAGAATAGGGGCCCAGCTCTATTATAGAATCCCATTATTGTTTGTCTTACAAAAATGCGACATAACCTCATACCTACTTTGTTATTATTATTCGTGCACGTTACTCTTCTACTGTTTACATTTTTTGCACTTTTGCACACTTGCACTGCTCACACTGCTTGTACTGACTCCAGACCTAGGGCAGCCAGTGCAGTGAACTCGTGTACTGAGTTCTGCTGCACTGGAATAGAAAACAGCTTCGCTGACGTCAATTCGGAAATAGAAAACGCTTAAGTGCACACTTTTGGCACTAGTGCAGCCACAGGCACAGTGCAGGAACGAAAAACAAACCTAAGGCCTGTTCTTTGTAGTTGCACTGCTGAACTGGTGCAATATATTGAAGTGAAACAAATATACGTTTTCTCACTCTAACTTATTGCACTAGTTCAGTAGTGCAGCTACAAAGAACAGGCCTCTATAATCACGTTATCCGTTTCGTATTTCTAGTATACCGAACTCATTGGCTGCGTTCAGAAAACATAGGGCGCATTCAGTAGAAAAAGCGCTCAGTGAGCAATCAACGATTATTGGTTCTTGCTATTAGATCCCTAAATCTAGACCAATTACATTGACAAATTACTCAACTGTTGTGCAACTGTTGAGTCTACTGAATGCAGCCATAGCTAATCAGTGAGTGGTCAGTGATTATTGGTCCTTACTGTTAGTTCTCTAACTTTAGACAAATTATATTGACGAATTGCTCAACTGTTGTGCAACTGTTGAGTTCGCTGAACGTACCTATTGTCAGTATGGTCAGAAATCTAGCCCTGTAGTACCGGTAGTATTGAGAGGGGATGACGCACATATGCAAACATGCCCATGTACATGTGCGCTCTGAACTTATAGCATGTTCGACTGGCTCTGGATTAACCTACTCTGGGTTATTCAGCCTATGTTTATTGATCGAACAAGTATTTATAAGCTTTATAATTTGCTAGTAAAGACTTATGACGTCATTAATCGCTCTCGGAGCGATTAACCCAGGGCCAATCGAACACGCTGTTAGTTCGTTTGTCATCCCCTCTCAATACTACCGGTGCTACTGGGCGAGATTTCTGGCCACACTGACCGAACTTACATAAAAGTGTGTTGCTTTGTTTTATTATTCAACAGAAAACCTAACCATAAATATGTATAAATCTTTCTGTAAACTTTTTCGATATTCTTAAGCTTCCAAATGTAGATGCAAAAGTAGAGCAATGTTCTTCAAAATTTTTCTGTTTGGAACTTTCGATATGTACGAGCTACGGAACTTTTGGATTAGGCAAATATTACGCTATTGACAGCTTGAGATTTTACATTAAAAGTTTTTTGTTCGTTTTCGTCACATATCAAGCAATGTTTCTATTTATTTTTGCACGTACTTTCATTGCGTAAAAGCATTTGTAATTCTGTGTAACCAATACGACATAAATTTTGCAGAAAAATGTCAGTATTCAACTTCGGCATTCCCTTAAGAGCATACTTTCTCCACGTCGCACGGCTTATAGAATGGCGAAAAATAAAAACTTCTAAAAATGCAATACAATTTATGAGACATTTATATTTATTGTTAATGTTTGTTTCCAATAGTTTTCTACATCACACATGAAGTACTATTGATGCGTTTTTTAAAGTGGAATCTCCAATAAATTTAATCACTCTAGGCGGAAGCTTAGTCGCTCTATCTTTAAAAAAGTTTTTATTTTTCGTTCCTCTACAAACCTTATTGTACAACGTGCGAAAGCCACATTCCTGAAGCTTTAATAATTTATTGGCTGCACACAGCGCAACGAGACAAGGAGAACGATGGGAGACAAGGACACCTCAGAATCGACCAGAAAATACATCGCTTGTCAAGCTCTGCTCAAGAAAATGGGATCTGGGTCCTGATTCTCGAAAATATATTGTATATGATATTTAGAGAAAAGCTATAGTGTACGTAATATAAACTATAGCTTTTCATGAAATATCTTATATAATATATTTTCGAGGATCAAGACCCTGGTCGAATTTTTTTTCATTGAATCAACTCGTAAGCCTCCCAAAATGGCAGAACCAATCGCACTCATTATCTTGTGAGGTTGCAAAGCAACTCAATTACAAATTTTACATTTTTGAAAAACTATATAATTCTTAACACTTTTCTTTTACATATAATAAGTCATTGTTAAGTATGTACTAATTTTTATTACAGAATTTGTGATAAATACAAATATGCCATTTTGAGTGATAAATAGTTTGCTTCTATTTTATAGGGAGACTAATGGGCCTTCTACAATATTTGTTTGCCTTCCGCAAACAAATTGACTAACCACAGTCGAGATTGTTTTTGAAAATAATCGACTGTGATTGGCCAACTTGCTTGCGGCTTATGACTAATAGCTTATTGTAAAAAACCCATAATAGAAACAAGACTCCGGAAAATAAACAATAATCCAGTGACGAAGCGTCAACGTCTTATCTTTCGAGATGATCGCCGGTGTACTATATAGTTCGAGAGTCCGTTGTTATTATTATCGTCGACACGATTTAAATCGTTAACATTTCTTTATATTCAATTCAAAATATTTAACGCAGAAATGCTAGGTATACTATTCGTGTAGTCAACTTTTATTGCTTTGTCCTCGATCTTCTCCCGACGATCATCACTGGCAATAATTAAAAATAGTAAGTTCGCATTGACCGCGAAAATTATACGCGTTACATGTACATATGAAATTTGGTCCTTTGAGCTGGATACGTGTCATTCGATTGAGGAAAAGGGAGTCGTGCAAAGTCACAGTCACGATCGCCAGTGTAACTGTGCTTAGAAACACCTTTACTGCTAACGAAGTATCCGACGTGTTTCACTGTTGCACCATCAGATCAGACGTGATAGGCTCGACCGATATATTTGGCGAGAAGAAAATGGTGCCTTCTTCAATTCGCGTGTTAGCATTAGTGCTACGTAACGCTCGGTTTTAAGTGCGTTCGGGGAGCATTATTAGCACTACATAGCGCTATGTCATTATATTCTTGTTGTATAACTAAGAAGCGATAAAAATAAAAGAACTCGATAGCGTTGGTGGCGGTGACGTGCTTTCCGAACGCACCCTATGAGGAAACGTTAATTGTCCGTAGTAAACAATTGACAACTGTTCGAACGAAGACAGGTCACCCTCACTACCGATGGGTTTCAAATTTAAGACTTCCAAGCTGTTCCCACGCAGCAATGTAGTTTCGAACAAGCAACTTCCGTCTAAAATTATTGATAGCAGTTTTTTCACATACTTTTGTCCAGTTCCTCAACTGAGCTAGTTGGTTTTATCGACTCGTATCTCTCAGTGGTCTCTTCAAAATCCTTCATTTCCTCGTCTAAGTTGGTTGATTCTATCAACTCGTCTTTCTCTGTAGTTCCAACAATACTATCCAATTCATCATCATCTAAGTAAGTCGGTTCTATTAACTCATATTTCTCGGTAGTTCCACCCAGACTCTTCAGTTCCTCGACTAAGCTCCGGATATTGACCTTGCGTGAGATCACCAATTTCCGTTGATCTGAGGGGCCATGGCTGCGGGATTTAAGACCCATTGAACGCGCGACTCTGAAATAAATAAAACAAAACCACATTAAGCACGTAAAACTTTTTCAATATATTGTATCTTATTTATTGTTATTTAAAACATTAGGCACGTAAAACATTAAGCACGTAAAACTTTTTCAATATATTGTATCTTATTTATTGTTATTTAAAACATAATTCCATTTAAATAAGGAATTATTATTTTTCAGAAATAATCTATAATATCATATAGTTGTATTATATAATATAGTAATATATGTGGGTGTGTTTATACACACACACACACGCGCGCACATACACACACACACATATATATAGAAGCAGAAAATTTGGAGAATGTTAATAATTTAAACATAAGTGATACGCACTGATGGATCATTGCTCTTTCATCGTTGGTGAAATCTGTAGAAAATACTATATCGTTTTGCATATCTCCCATTAGGAACTCCTTAAAAGCAATCCTGCATTTGGCTTTCAGTTCATGCATATTGGAGGAACTTGATTTCAGACCCAAACCCTCTCGGCTGAGCTGTTGTTTAAGCCTAAAAAGGCGATAAGGATTTTTGCTATATTTCTAATAATTTGTTTAAAAGCAAGCATTGTTTAAAAATTAAAAGAAAATATGAATACTAACGTCACAGGTTCCATGATACCCTGCTGGGATTTTCCAAGACCACCACCGCTCCAACCCATTAACTTCATCAATTTCTTTCCAATATTGTCATCAGGTATATCATCCTGGGACTTGGTCTTTTCTATCGTCATTAAGTTGACGTTTGTCTGTGCATCTGAATTTTGCTTTATCTGAATTTTAACAAATATAAATGAGTAAGAGAGTTGTACTTTATGTATCTTCTTATTATACTATCATATTTATACAATAAAAACAAAGTTGATTCTAAGAATTATTTTCTTTAAATATACTACCTTTAAAAATGTATAATTGCAATAACT